ATATGGATGTTCATAAAGATATGACGGCCCCTCGCTCTCCTAGAGCAAAGTGGCTTCGCACCTACTTGTTGTGTCTCTCGTCATAAGACTATAGATAACGCAAGAGAGAACTGATGACTTCGCGGATGGAGAGGGATTCGAACCCCCGGTATCCCTATCAATACTTCGGTTTTCAAGACCGACTCTTTCAACCGCTCAGACATCCATCCCCTTCGCGCTTCGCTCGCCCTATCTATCCGCGAGCTGGCAGGTAGGGGCTTATCTATGTGATTCGCTACGCTTGCTTGCGCCTATCGGCGGGCTCTATTGCCCGCCGGTTAGCGAAACTTGGTAGTACGAATCGCTACGCTTCGCTTCTTTCTATATGATAATATGCACCTACCTTGCTGCGCTCCCTGCGGGTAATAGCAAGAGAGTGAAGAACGAATGATCCTCCAAAAAGAGTGATTGAGTCCGACTCAAGCGAGTGAGTGAAAGGCGTGGCAAGAGAGCGAGTTCAACTCGCGAACGATCAGCAAGTGAAGTACCGATCCTTTTGCGCCAGTACTGTTGCGAGACTGGTACTTGACGGCTCACGAGCAACATATAGACTAAGGTAAGGTTGCCCATCACTCTCTCGCTCTTTTTTGAAGGCCTTTTCTTCTATTTTCTTTCTAGTATAGTACCATAAGAAGACTGAACGCCCAGCTTCGCGGAGCAGCTCTCTCCCCAGCCCACAGCATAGTGTGGAATCTGGATCGTTTCATCGAGCACCATTTCTTTTAGATAGAAAGGTGTTCTGACTCTATTGGATCAAGTCATAACCTACGCCTTCTACTAGTATACTACTATGGAGAGACTAAGCTCTATTTCAGAGATTGGGCTCTCTTACTGTGATTAGCCCCTACTAGTAAGAAGCTCTTCCCGAGCCAGGTTCCCTGGATCTACGTGTTCCTAGTAGGGCCTAAATGGATGAATTAAGAGGCGCGCCCAGGGGGTAGACTTCAAGAGCTCTTGCTCTGCGTATCCTCCTACTTCTTATTCTGAGGATGAGGAAGAATACGAACCGCCTACTCGCCCTACCATTCATTCTAAAAAAAAATGAAAGCTGCTCGCCTTCACTAAGAAAACAATCCCTCCCCTTCTGTTACCTATTTTGACTCATATCTTCGGTATACCTCAATACAAGACAAGCACAGGAAAGGTGCTTCTTCCAAGCAAAACCGGGCTATCGCCCTATTCTCTCTCAATTGCCTATCCTTTATAGATGAGGGGGAGTACCTTAGCAGTAGCTTCCAACACTTAAGATTGACCTCCTCAAGTGCAAGATATGAATGGTTTATGAATTTCATACGGGACTACTTTCTTACCTATAAAAGTTCAACCAAATAAGTTTACTAAAGAAACTGACCTAAGATAGCTCTCTCTCTCAAATACAAATCCCAAGAAAGAGATTCCTTGGATAATTTTAATTTAAGGCGTTTGTCCTACTTATAGTATAAATCAGTCTTCCAGCCTATCGAAATTCGTGTTTTTATTAACCAACAACACATGCACTTTGTTGGCACTCACTCACTCAAAAAAAGGTTATTCAATCCACTAGTGCAACTGAAGGTGCGTAGCCTCTTCTGAACCGAAAGAAGAAAGAACTCATAACCACTGCTTGTGAACAGCTCTCCTCAACTGAAGGCGCACCTACTGTTACTAGAAGTCTAGTCTCTCTCAGGTCCAGTTTCGATCTCGAACTAACTTACTTTACTTAATAGGCCGGAAGAGAGATTATTCAGAAAACCCGATTTCCTGTCCTGTCTTAAGAACCTGACTCAAAAGAGAAAAGAAGACCGGACTAAAAGAGATATCACTTTTTCACTTTTATATCCAGATTGGAACTGGATTTGAACGTCTTTGGATCCTGAGCCGGCTCCACTTTCCGGAATCCTTGCTCCTGGCTTATATTCACATAGGCCACTCATAAGAATAAGACGTTCAACTCCCTAAAACACGTATAATTGAGAGACTCATAATCTCAGTGCCTTGGGTAAATGCCTACCTTCGGGAGAATCTTACCGAACGAGTTTCAACCCTGTCCTCTTCGCTTCCCAAGATATTTAGGGAAAAGGGCCTTGTCGGCCACCGCTTGCTGACGACGGAACGCATCGTCAATTAAAAGTCCTCGCGTTGGAAGGGTAGGTGTTCGGCATGTCCCTTGCTTGCGAACTTATTTAGTAGGGCGGGTTTGGGGATCCCATTCCTCACGTTTCCCGTTGTCCCCAGACTTCATTCTTTCAACACTTTTATACTTTCTTAATAGTCAGGCGTGTCCCTGTCTCTGTCTCTAACAAGTGTGTGTGATCCACCGATTTACTGAGTGACTCTTTCTTACCGCTGGAGTCCCCATCTCTTAAATTAAAGCCTTATCAGACTTCCGATCCATCCCTTGTTTTTGCCGATTGAAGAAAGCCTTATCAAACAAGCGAGAAAAAGCCCGGCGCTTTCTATGTTATTAGTCAAGCCGCCCTACAATCAAACTAAAGCGCTAACAAGCAACGGCTTTCGCGCAGCTCAAGGAGTTGCTTGTTGCTTTCGAGCCGGAGCTTGCTGGGTAGTCAAGTAGTCCGTGAAGGTTAAATCACACTTGTGTTAAACAAGCAGAGTAGTCAAGCCAGAGAGGCAAAAAAAGCAAGAAGCGGTTTTCGTTCGATCGACGAAAGAAATCGTACTTTCACTGCTGTGGACCGGCTTTCATAAAGCACCTTTGGGCAGCTGCTACTATTGGGATGGGATCCAATTCCGAGATCAATTCGACAATGAAACTCTTCAAGCAATGATCTTATCTATGTCATTTCTCTTGACGCGATACAAAAGACGACTTTCGAGAGTCACGGCTACGCCCCTTTGCTTCTTTTGGCATTCCACTTGGGACGAAAAGCATGGGCCTTACTCTTCTCTTCTCTTAAAGTACTTCCCCTTCCTTACTTGTTTAGTCTTGTTACCGCCCCGTGGGTCCCTCCAACCCGACAATATACGACTCTACGACCCTTGGGCTACTTTCCTATTGATTTAGGAACTATTGACATATTAGATCGGCATTGTCAAATGATTTAGCGCTTAGCTACTAAATAGAATAAAAATAAGTAGCTGAAACCTGCTCTTACAAGACGAATCTCTTTCTATACTATATTTACTACGCAGCATCTCGAAAGAGGTTCCCTTAGCAAGTCCAACGAGCTTAGGCTTAGATCCCGTGTTCAGGAAAACCTTCTATGGGTGCCTGAGTTCATAGCAGTTCTTTCTCTGATCCTAATCGTATCGTACGTACAGCTTTCTTTGTCTTGAGGGTGAGGAACGTCTTTCTAAGAGCCTTTCAAAGGTCAGGAGCAGAAGTGTCTGAAGCAGGGATTGAAGACAGGGGAAAAAAAGTCTACTCGACCATAGGGAGAGTCGCAGATTGGATAACGCCCTTCCTTCTTCCCGGGGAAAGAATCCTTCCTCCTTTCCTTCTTTCTTTACTTCTGGGTAAACCCAACCCGAATGGGAAGAAGAGGGAGGGAAAGAGCGGTCCATTTTTTACATTTTCTGAGGCAGACCTATTTGGCATTTTAGAAAAGGGAAGGGAACTTCTCACCGAAGGGGGCAGTAGGAATGAAGGAGGCGGGAAGCTACCGCTTCTAGAATGCAAGCTTATCCTTTACTTTTTTTTAGAGCTAGAGCGTACCGCTATTTTAATAATAAGGAAAAGTTTATGGATGAAGTAATCGGAGTGACAAATGGTTACGGTTGCAGAAACCGGAGAAAGTCGAGAACCGTCGGTTACCTTTTGAATCAAAGTAGCGACAAGCCGAGTACTACGACTACAGGGGGGAAGCTTTGCTTCGTAGACAGCTTCGCTTCCTCGTCGCTTCTTTCTGGCGACTAGCTTCTCAAGTGGGTGGCTTGGTAAGCAACAAGCTACCCTCAGCATCGGTAAAATCCCTATCAAAAAAAAATAGGCCAGAATGGTGGGGAAGGGGGCCCTCCCTACTTCAATGGAAAGGGGGAATCGCCGTTTCACAGCCGTTCCTCTACAACTACCTTTCGCCCAACATGATCACAAACGAAGACAGAGAATTGCAGGAGGACGAAATGAACCAACCCACTTGTCCTGATCGGAACGATTGAAGAAAGAAAGAAAAGCCCCTTTCGCCCAGGATCGTCGGAGAACAATGTCGGGGACAGGGTGAGAACCTTCCTTCCGTTGGTTACGCCTTTTAAGTGTCGGTTCTTCCATATTTAGATATGGAGATAGATCCAGAGATAGAGATCTATATCTATCGATAGATAGATATATCTATATTGATAAATAGATATAGATCTGGTTTCAAGATCTATGAACACGAGAGACCCCTAAATATCCATTTGAAAAAAGAGATGAGGGTAGGGCGGAGCCAGCTGAAGGAAGGTCGCCGTTAGCGCCCCTGCAATCTTTCTAAAGTAAGAAGCGCGAAACTTGACTTTGAGAAAGAAGGGCCTTATATTAGAATAAGAATATTAGTAAAGGCGCGTTAGCCTATCTATAGAAAGGGGCTTCTTCAAATATCCCATAAATAAAGCAGGGGCTTCTCATGTAGTTTTTAGGGGTGCGTAGGCGCAAGGCCCCCTATACAAGGGCGCGCAATGACTTTCTCTGATAGGGGCTCGCTTCTTCAAGCTCCGCTTGCTGCTTTTCATTTTGATAGGAGTAGTAGGTGCTTGCTGCTCGCTTGCTGTCTACTAAACGAGCCTTCACTGCCCGCCCGGCCCCTCTCTTTAATCTTAAAAGTGAAGTCAAATCAATGAAGTGAACAGCCCAACCTCTTTGTTTGAATTGAAGCTTTTCCAGAAAGCTTCTACTTGTTGAAGCTTCCCCCAAAGCACAACAATAGACTTGCAACTATAGTATAGGAAAAAGCTTCTCAGCGATCATAGGGGGGAAAGGATCTGATCGTAGATAGAGACTGAAACCTGTGCGGGGGTAGGGGCGGATGTAGCCAAGTGGATCAAGGCAGTGGATTGTGAATCCACCACGCGCGGGTTCAATCCCCGTCGTTCGCCCAAAAGGAGATATTCAAGAAGTTTCTTGCTTGCGTCCAAGTTACAACCGAAACTACTCCTGCGGAACTTGAACAGGCCCTACACGACTCGGAGAAAGAAAGCAATGACAAGACATATAAAGATGGCCAAAGCTAGGTAACCATCTTCGATACTAATAGCCATAATCTGAGCATGAGCGTTCGTCGCGACTACTTATATTTCGATAATATTAGCCTTCGCTCCGATACTTTTTACTTTCTCCTTTGTTACATAATTCCCTATACAGAGAGTGAGCTCCCTCACGGTAAGCCCATTAGACTAAGAGATATAGCGTGCATTAGCGTTCGCCCATATTATATGGTAGTTCCATGGTTCTAAAGATGCATGAGATGTTCGCCTTTAGTAATAAAGTAAGGTAGGTTGACCAAAATGAGGATCCCAAATTGCATGAGCAATAGGTCTTACATGCAAAGGGTCCTGTACCCATGTTTCAAAATTTCCTTGCCAAGCTACATGAAACAGATTTCCGGAAGTCCACAGAAAAATTCTTGCTAATTGCCCGAAGTGAGAAGCAAAAATATTCTGATAAAGACGTTCCTCCGTAATATCATCATGACTCTCGAAGTCATGCGCAGTAGCAATACCAAACCAAATACGACGAGTAGTGGGGTCCTGAGCTAAGCCTTGGCTAAACCTTGGAAATCTTAATGCCATAATGCCTTTCAAATCCTCCTAGCCATTATCCTACTGCAATAATTCTTGCTAAGAAGAACGCCCATGTTGTGGCAATTCCACCCAGAAGGTAATGAGTGACTCCTACAGCACGTCCTTGTATACCTAATAAAAGAAAAAGATTGAAGGCCTGGCTATTCCGATTGAGAATACGGAAGAGGCTATGAAATAGAAGAAAGAAGGTGAGTTCGAACTCTAACTCAAGAGCCCTTACTCAAGAGGGCTTCTCTTCCTCTTATTGTCAGAAGTCAAATGGTTCAGTCCAGTTGGGGCAACTGGGCCAGACGACATTGATAGCGGCCGTGGTAAGGTACAAAGCTTTTTGTCTGGGTCTTGGGCAGACGTACTCAACTGGTACAAATAGAAAGGCTCGTCCAGTGAGTGATGACACTGGCGAGTAAACTGCAAAAGGGTCTTGCTTGGTATAATATAAGCGGATGAGTTAGTTATAATTAGCTCGGGATGCGTGACTTCGTCACGGCCGCTGACTCAATAATGGCCTACTAACGTTCGAGTTGTTCGGTTTGAGAAAGGAGCACCGGCCGAGCACCCTGAATGAATAAGAAATGGACAGCAGAGGGTGCCGCAGGCGCGGTTCTTATTCAACCGAGTTGAAGCTAGCAAGATGTCGATTACACACCGGAGGTTGGTAAGAACTGAGGGACAATGCCCCCCTAACCTAAGTGGGCCTACCAGCGAAGCAACTGGTACTTGATCGGGCGGGGGGCGGTTTGGTTTCGTGCAACGCCCTCGCAGCAGGAAGAGGCAGTTGTCATTTGAAAGGAAAGGCCCATAGGTTTCCAAAACTGCACACCCTGATAAAAAAGCCCTTTCTTTCTATGTTATTAGTCAAGCCGCCCTTATTGAAAACTAAACTAAAGCGCTAACGCGCCTTTACTAATATTCTTATTCTAATATAAGGCCCTTCTTTCTCAAAGTCAAGTTTCGCGCTTCTTACTTTAGAAAGATTGCAAGGGCGCGTCGGAACGCTCGGTGGCTGCTTACTCTCATCCGAGAGTCTAATCTCTTTGTATTGTACTGCTTTTTTCTTTGAAAAAAAAAGAAAGAAGGGGGTCGATTTAGGCTCCTTCCACTGCATAGCCGCGCTAGCAGGTACTATAAGCCCTCTGTCCCACGCATCTAACCAGCTCGCGTGGTTCACCGGTTCCACCGAAAACTCTCATTTGTTGAAGCGGAGCATAGTGCGCTTTAGGCGCCGAGCGAGAAACGTCTCTTCTTTCGTTTCGGTTTATTCACTGATCTGAAACTTAGCACTTGTTTTCTTATTAATTCGAGGGGCGGCGGCGTTCTTGAATGAAGTCTATCCGAACCGAATTAGCATTTATCAGAGCAGGCTAGGCCTCTCCAGCGGAGCTGGGCGCCGGGGCCCTGAATGTGCTAGCGATCGGCACATAGGGGGTGGTTGCCCGGGTTTCTCGGCCTGGTATCCTGCACCTCGCGTTTATGATATATACATTCAACTCTGCCCCGGAGACACGGTCGAAGCACGCCCGCCCAGCGTGCTTCTTTCACGACATGCTCTGGTCCCGGGTGTTTTCCAGTGGTCTTCTAGCCTTAGAAGAAGTCGTGTCCGGGACGGACATCTGCAACGTCCTCCCACGCTTTATTTTAAATAGAGGACAAACTGAAGGAAAAGACTGACCCATTCGGTGACTTTGGCGGTCGCCCTCACTGAACCGACTTGAATCTGAACTACGATTAAGATAGAGTCTGACCGAAATCGGATTTCCTTTGCGTGCCATATGCCCTTGCAGTCTTTTTTTTATAAGATGGCTAGATTATCCATGCTAAAGGGAAAGATGCATTCCTCCTGACTGCCCCGCTAAGGCTAACGAATAGACCTTAGATAGTTCTCGAGGGTTCACTAGTAAGAAACTTCCCATGAGCCAGTAGAGAAGAGTAAGAAAGTAATAGTGAAAGAACCCGGCATTCTCCGATCGGCGTAATCTCGTAATACATACATGGCTATGAGACTAGTGCAATCAGTTCCTTCCCTCCCTCACAACCTAGTCTGCTCGTGGTCATGGAAAGCCCCTTTTTTGGCATAACTGCCTCTAGCAGCTCCTTCTCTTCCGAGACGGGTTTCGAATTGGGGCATGGTCTGTTAATCCAGGGTTAGACTAGCTAGGCGAAATAGCAAAGTGAGGGGGTGGATATCCATAGAGAGCTTGGAAAGGTGAGATTTGAATGGTGGTATGGTAGGTAGAATTGTAGCACCATTCTGCAAGTGGAAGCCAAAAGCACCACTGCTTGGGCTTCTTAGAGGTTATAGACCTGAGATAGGTCTCAAAACACCTACTGAGCCTCTCTCTTTGACCTTCCGGGGATGGTAGGCTGTACTGAGATCAAAATGGGTGCCCACCATTCTGAAGAGCCCCTTTCATACTGGTAAAGACCTTGTCTGTGTCAGAAAGAATGCTGGCAGGGAGTCCATGGAGTTTGTAAACATTGTCTAGGAAGACTTGGGCAAGATGGACTGCAGTATAGGGATGACACAGGGCCATGAAGTGTGCATACTTTTTAAAACCTGTCCACCACTACAGGTGTCTTTACCCTCTTTAGTAGGCAAACCCTCTATAAAATCCATGGAGATATGACGAAATGAGTGAGTTGGCAGAGGTACTGGCTTTAGGAGGCCAGGATAGGGGGCATTTTCACTTTTACTTCTCTGACACACATCACACTCCATGACTACTTTCTGCAGATTTCATGCCAGGCCAATAAAACAATGTTGGAAGTAAAGAGCAATGCCTTTGACTTAGTCTACCTCCTCACCCCTATTCCCTTTATCGGTCTAAGCCAAAAAGAAGAAAGCTTTCGATTCAATCCGTCCTAGCTCTTGTCTAAGGATTCGAAGCTGGCGAAGTAGTAGAAGTCGTCTCAGGCTTGTGGTAACTCTCTTCATTTGGTGGTGCTCCGCCGGGCAGTCCCCTGAGTTCGGCCGATGCTTGCTTTGTCTTTCTAGGTTCAGCCTTAGATTCAATCCCGCAGAAAGATCTTTATCCTTAGCTTAATGCTTTACGAAGATCTTGACTCTAAGTACTTTTCTTTCCATGTTTTGAGCTCGTTCGATCGTAGAGCACCTAGTTATATCCGTATTGCTCGACTGTGTCCTTCAATTTTCGGATATGGGATCGGTCCAATACATATGGAGATCCATATACTAGCCATGAGCTATCGCTCAATGCCTAGAGAGGAGCAGGGCAGGATCGAAGAGCTTAGTGTGAAAGTGCTCAGCAAATTAGCTTAAATAAGCATGCGTGACGTGAAGCCCTGCCCTACTAATGAACGTATGTGGACTCCCCGCCCTCCCGAGCTATTAGCTTGTCGGCGTAACGAAAAAGGCAATCAGCTGCCTACGAGCGAACCAATAGGATTGCTTCTCGACAAGATAGGGTTCGCTTTTTTCGCAGTTAAGGCGAAGACAAATGTTCCTATCTATTTAGTATGGGGGAAGGTCTGTCAAGCCTCAAAGCCATGGGGATAGATGTAGACGCGGTGAGAAATGAGTCACAGAATTCGCTATCTGTTCAGTTTGTCACGCTTTCATCCGTGGTGGGGGAAGAAGAAATTTCAACATATTCCCTTGCCTATAGGGCGTGAATTGACTCAAAGCACTCGGACTTGGGCTTCCTAAGACTGCTCTTGCTTACTGTGATAAACCTATAAGGTTAGATTAGACTGACATGCATGGAAGATTTGGATGAGAAGGGCATGTTTGAGGCATGAAGGGATAAAGGAAGGGCTTGGACAACCTAATCACATGGTGGAAGGACTCAGGTCCTGGGCTAGCGAAGATAGAGCGCGTTCAGTTCCACTCGGCCCTGCTTTTTCTTCAGGTGGTACTCGCAAAGAACAAGCAAAAGCAGGATTCTTTTAGCAAGTTCATTTGAAAGCCAGTCCATTGGCTAATCTTTTTCTAGCAATCCCTTTTTCAAGAAGGTAAGCAAGCTAGAGGCTAGTCTTTTAGTTCTCTTCTTTTTATTTTAGAGGAAAGCAAGCTAGGGATAAAGCATTCTCTTTTGAATCTAGTGAGCAAGTGAGTTCTTCCCCGTAAGCTGGCCCTAAGTGCTTCCATGTTGATCCATACGATGGAATACGGTTCTTGCCAGTTGCCTTACCTGCGGTTTCTATTACATCCCTTCAAATTGAAGTCCCACTGTACAGCGGTTTTATTGGTTCTACTGTACCTCCCTAAGGCTCTAAGGGGCTAACGATCTAAAAGTATATTCTACTAAAAGTACTAGGATTCCCTTCGAATATCTAATCTATTATTTTTTGCCTTCCCTTCGAGGGATTTCTAGTACTCTATTCTCTTTATTCAAACTGACCTTTTGGTGGATTGATTTCCTTTTGATTACTAAATGCTTGTCCATTTCCTTATAGGATGCATATGCGCTCCTTGTCTGCTATAAGTCTTCCCTCGTCTTTCTGGCTCTGCTTCCACGCTAAGCAAGAAGTAAGCCAGACAGTTTCTTGGAAAGAGTCTTTTCGGGGTCCTTTTTTCCCTAGGGGCGGTACTGGGAAAGTCCTTTCTGTCTATATGTTCTATCCCCCTTCCTTGCATGCACAAGAGAGAGGAAGAGGCTAATTAGGACTGGACCGAGATAGGATTGGTAACGTACTGCCGCCTTGCCCGCACCTTCCTCTAGAGCAGGGGATGATTCTTTTCCTTCAACAAAGATAGAAAAGACCAAGACAGTAGAATTCCTACTAGGAAAGCAGGTCACAAGCAAGGAAAGAAAGGACTTTGACCATTCCCTATCTCCTTGCCTAAAGGATCTTCTCTTCGGCTAACTCTATTCAGTGCACGATAGCTTTTCTCTTCATAAATATCATAAGAGAAGTAGGTCAGCTCTCTCTCTCTCAGTTGTTTAGCTAGTGCCCTTCTTCTTCTTATTAGCAAGGTAACCCGAAAGCGGAACGAAAACAAAGAAAGGCCTAAGATTCTAAGTGAAACATCGTCTGCCCCGGATCTTGTAGAGGGTCTCAGAGAAATGGGGATGATTGTTCAGCAAGTTTCAAATATCTCGGTGTACACCGACGGGAAGTGCAGATGGCGCATAGCTCGGAGCAGAGAGCTATGATCGAGGCGGAACTTACTGAAGCGCTTGCCGAGGAGAAAGGGATAGCGATCGACGCACTCCCTGAGTTGAAGGGCGCAAGGGCTGTAGCATTCTTTCTAGGAGGTATCTTTCTCTCAAGCTTTCTTACTAAGTGCCGCAGCCTAATGCTAACTTCAACGTCTTGCCGTAAAGATAAGAATCCAACAAAGCAAGAATCCGGAGCGGAAGGGAAGAACTCGACCCAGCAATCGGTGTGCCGGAGCCGAAACAATTACTTCAGCGATGGCAGCCGTCAGTAGGTATTGGGAAATGGAAAGGTTTTCAAGCCTCTTGATCCTATCCCAATCCGCTCACTTCACTAAGGCTTCTCCGCGCTTGACTGAAAAAGGAGATCCCGGACTTTCTAATCAATTCAAAGAGATGGCGTCTCCACTAGCTTTCTTCATGATGAGATTCAGTGCTTCCACCGATGATTTTCACGTCTTCGAACCGCTATCTTCAGAATGTGTGGAAGAAAATAGACCCAAGAAAGAGACTCACCAAGAAGAATGGTTCTCCCCCATCCCTCTTACCCCTCCTTTCGCTCTCCCTTACTTTCCATGTGTGCGGCTAGGTGTACGTCGAAGGCTTATCCTCTTCTCTAGTAGTGAATTGGCCGCTGGGACCGACCATGTACGGAGCTGGAGAGAAAACTCATTGCCGAAGACTCCGACTCAGGCATTTAGCTACTCGAACGAATGCCCTCATCGAATGTTCGAACTCCGACATAGAGGCATCCAGCAAAATTCCAAGGGATATAAGTCTCTAAAGTTGCGTAAGAGTCTCATTTTGGCTAGCGCCCTTTCTCCCTATTAGTATGCCTGATTTCTCCTTCCATTGGTAAGCATTACTCCTAATCAGGTATAGGTCTTCGGAACGAGCTTAGCAGTCCCGCCTTCATAACTAAGGTGACTCCTTGGCCTGCAAGCTCGAGCACTTAATTAATTGAAGGTGTGGAAAGAGTCCTTCTTTTGCTATGGTAAGCGCGACTCCTTAGCGCCTTCACTCATGAATCTTCTCTTCAGGGAGAAAAGTTAAGAGATCAACCTAAGCAACTATTTCGGTGGTAAAGCGGGCCTCTTCGGGCGAGACTTCAACAAGACGTAGGAAAGCGAGTTCGCAGCCTTCGATTTCGTATCATCGTCGAGGTACCAAGTCTCGAGCTTTTGCTACATCAAAGTGGATTTAGACTAAGTCAGATTGATAATCTGAGCGGAATTCTGTCCCTAGGTCAACACGGATTCAATCATCAACTCGGGTTCTTTCTATCATCGGTGACGATCGCGAGTAAAGTCAGTAGTTTGCCAACGAGACAAAGTGAAAGGAGTTCTTCCATATTGATAGTTAGGAAGGTTGCTTGGCTTTTCAGTGACCTTCTAACCAGTAAATATCATAAGCGAAGTTGCAACCGGGGTAGGGACTCAAGCAGTTGGAGAGTCCCGTAAATAGCCATACTTCAAATCCCCGAGGGAATCTACCTAAGACGGTAAGGGGCCTAGCAGAAAGAGTAGTTTCAGAAGCCGAGAATGAAGGAGAGATTCTGATTCAAGTTCTACTCTTATTCATCTCTCTGGAGTCAAATCAGTAAGGAGTTCACATCTGGAAATCAATCATCTCTTTCTTATTACGGCGGTAAAGCTGCCACTTTTTCACTACTTTCTTGATCGAACAAGCAGGAAGACACATGGCCTAACTCTGTTCTGGAAGCTGCTAACACATTTAGGGGTGAAAAGCACTCAGACGATTGAAATATCTTATAGTAAGCCCTTACTCTACTCTGGCTATAGAGCAGAGCCATCTAAATGCCATCATGAAGCGTAAGACTGAGGATAGTCCTCGACTACCTTCTTATTTACTTGTTGAGCACTACTGGGCAAAGACTTTTTTATATGATTAGACCTATGGTATGGGACTGACTAGCTTCCCTGGCTTATTGGGGTTAGGCATTCTTAGGCAATAGACCAGGAGTAGGCTGAGGTGTAGACCTTTCTATATTCAATTTATCTTACAGACTGAATCCATAGTTGGCTTGGTCATAACTAGTAGTAGCTCCGGTTACTGTTGGAGTCGGTGGAATCATCTCACTGGGACTAGGCAGCTTCGGCTCCTCTCCTTTCCCTGGTCCAACACTACTCGAGTTCTTTCGCTCTAGCTGCATGAATCCTAAGCTTTGTCTCATCGAGATTGGCTTGGTCTCATAGCAAACCCTGTGTAGAAAGCCAAAAGCTACAGTCTCCCTCGTTTCGTTAGCATGCCGAAGTGGGTAAAGCTTGGACTCTGACTTTTGCCTATCGCTCTTCTTCACCACTCGTTAAGAACATCCTTTAAGTGGTACTGACGCATGAACTTGACTCAGTTCTTCCCTGCCACTGCTTTTACGCTATCCAACTGATTCCGAAGAAAGAGGAAAGATGTCCAATCGGAAAGTGGTAAGCATATAGCATAAGTCTCATTTGGAAGTGAATCCTTCCTAAGCGCTTTGCTTTCACAGAGACAGACCATTCTATACGAAAAACCCTGGGGTTGGATGAAGTGAGAGCTAGGAATCTTTGGTCTTATCCTTCTTCCCTTTGACTCAAGTTGGTAAGGGAAAAATCCCAATATACTGCTATTCCATTTGAATAATCTACCATGCTTGCCCTTCAAACCAAAATCTAGAGTAGTCTGACTAACATAGATTAACCATTTGCTTTCTTTTGTCTTCTACTTCAATCCAATACCGACATCAGCCGCCTCAAATCTTCAGGCTTACCCGCAATCAACAATTAGTTGAAGTGAAAAGTTTTCGTCTCCGAAAGAACCTGTTCGTTACCCAAACCGAACATTCTTCCCGAGAGCCCTAGTGCGACTGTGCTTGCCTGCCGGACGGAACTCTTTCTATCAAAGAAAGAATATACTACTTAACAACCGGAACGCCTTTGTGAAGTCTAGCTCTGTTCTATGCCCGCCCCTAAAGAGAAATGCTTTATATGATCTTCTTCTTTCTAGGGCGCTTACTTTTTTTGCAGGCAGGACAGGATCTGAAAAGACTAGCTGGACCCGGTTCTGACTAATCCCTAAGAGCTCATCGCGAGTTCTCTCGGGACGGGACCCTCAGTAGGGCATTCAGTACGAAGTAAGCCAATCCTGATAATGCGGCCTAAAGCCTATACTAGAAGTAAAGAACTGATGACTCGCATCCTTCTTGTGAGACTTTCCTATTAACTTATCTCCTCATTCGCGGAGCACGAAATTATGTTCCTCCCCTTATCCAGTAGTGGAAAGGGCATACCTTGAATACAGATCAAGATTCACTCTGGCACTGACTTAGGAAAGTACTTGCTGAAATGAAAGTACCAAGGAAAGAAGAGCGGGAAGATCTCTATGAAAGAGAAAAGAGCCCCAAGCACAGCACAAAACAAAAGGAACTTGACAATCGGATCTTGCAAGCTACTAGGTCAGTTTCTAAATCGACTTTTGTGCACAGAGTTATTATCAAATCGGATCCGGATCTTGTCTCTTTCCTGGTGGATGCATGGGCTATTCTACAGTGAGTGTCTAACTAATAGAAAGAGGGGATTGATTCAAAGTGTCTAGGTACCAAGAGAGAAGTACTTAACCTGGAAAGATCCGATCTACGAATTTAGATGATAATGTGCTAATGGCAGCGATATGCCTAACCCTTACTACTCCTACTGAGATCCGATTCTGGGCATACTCCTACTATACTAGGCCTAGGCTAGGATATTTCATCCTCAGGGCTTGCATTATATATAGGTACTCGGCAGCTTTTCAGTTAGTTTGCTGAGTCTCGCTATCTGGCTGGAAAAGGAGGCAGGAGCTTTTTCTTGACTAATGGGCGAGGTCCCAAGAGGAAAAAGGTTGCTCCGCTTCCGTTAGTTATTTTAGAGGCCAATGTAAAGATAAACCGACGTTTCACCAGTCTCATGGGTGTTGATACCTTTAGCTTGTCTATCCTTACTTTTTAGAAGAAAATCTGAGTCTGGTGCCGCTCGACCTCTAGATTGAGGGAAGATCTCTCTCTTTCACTTCTTAGCGCGCCTTCTTCTTCTTTTTTCCCCAGATTTAACTCTATGTTTAGGGGACGACTATAAAGTCTTACTCGAACAAGAGGGGCTGAAGGGTGTATAGGGTATTTTGATTTCACTAGATACAGACGATGATTCCGAGCCGGCGCATTGATTGATCTGAATAAGTTGTTCCACACCGGCTTCGGATATCAGTACTATAAGCCAAGCCCCTTTCTAGTTACTTTCTTTTTTTGGGCTTATAGTTTTTAATTAAGCAAATAATTCAAATTTCAAGATGTATACTTCGATGAGTCAGTGCCCTTCCTTCTTTAAGACACCTGTGTAAAAGAAGGCGATACATACGTTGTATTGGGTACGATGAGCAGAAGAAAGAGTGGATGTGATTACGTAGTCTTGTCTTCAAGCTGAAATCCAGTTCCTGGTGAGAGTACATCTGGTATTTTGGGTTATCTGAGGTATACAAGACAGATGATTGTGGGAACGAGTCAAAGGTTTGCTACTAGGAAGTAAGGATTCAATCCAGTCCAATGGGGCTACCATGTTTACCGGATTTTAAGAAGTCTGCTACTCGTTATCATCATATCCAAGAATTTCTTTCATATAGATAAAGTCGGGGCCGCGTTCTATGATATCATGACCAACTTGACTACTCGGCGCAAGGATGAAAGGGAAATGGATTCGTAATCCACAAATTCTAGTTATTATCTTTCTTTTTCTGCCTCCTCTAGGTGGATGTCCAGTTCGTCCCGCCTCTCGTCAAAGAAGTTGATAATCCTCAGGATTTGGTTCGTGGGCATTTTCGGCCAGGATGTTCAGAAAGGGTTTTTCGAAAAAAAGCGAAAGACTCATATTTCCCCTCCCGAGATCCAGATTCGCGAAGTCTAGTAACCTACGGAAAGAAGGCTTTGCCTATTCTATTCTCTTTTAGATGGAGCTTTATCCAGGGCGGTTTTTCTTTCTCTCCAATATTAGCCTGTCAAGATTGCCTGGCCTCCCCTCCTGCTATTCCTGTTAGGCTGTAATAGAGTAAGGGAGGAAGATACTCTTTTTATTTTCTACTACCTTAATCCTATTACTCAAGGCTCCAGGGGAATGCATGAAGTTTGGTGCGCGGGTCCTGCTTCTTGAGAAGGAATAGCGCTTACTCGCACTTTCTTCCTTCATCAATACTCTTTTCTCTTTCAATTTCCTTATATATTTTTCTATTCTATTTTTTATAGTTAGAATTAATTCTATGTACCGTACCTATCCAACATCTAATCTAATATGTATGATACTAAATAGAGTTGGAATAATTACATCAATAGTTGCATTGACAGTTATCTTCATTCTCAAATCGGGATTGACTCGCGATTCACTCGCTTTCGGGGCCATAATCATTATCCTAATCATTATGTAGGAGAGATGGCCGAGTGGTTCAAGGCGTAGCATTGGAACTGCTATGTAGGCTTTTGTTTACCGAGGGTTCGAATCCCTCTCTTTCCGCACCTTCACCTAATTTATCAATGTTACATTTGGCTTCCTTCTAAGGTTTCCGGTTTTCCGCATCTAGGACAGCTGCCTTCAGTGAAAGGGGGGAAGGAATGAACGGGAAAAGATCTTGACTCGATTCCGGCAGGAGAAGAGATTGGGGGAGGAAGGGGGAAGAAGTCATACTGGCTAGGATCGATGAGTAAGGGATTTCTTAACCGGCTGATGCATTCCAATTCCCCCCACCCGGGGGAAATCTTAGAGACTCGATCTTTCCAATACATCGACTGGAGCGGGTAGGGACGACAGCGACGGATAGACCTCTCAAAACTAAAATAAAGAAAATGGTTCATTTTTCCAATCGACAGCTAGGCGCGAGTTTCACTTTCTTTTTTCTATTCCTTTTCGAAGTCAGATCTTGAATAGGCATCTCGGTCGGTTGACGAAGCTTTTATTGGACTCGCTTTCCTTCTCTCCGCTAATCGCACTGAAATGACTAGACTGGATCGTTGGTTGAATCTCCGCCCTACTTTCGCTTGGACCGGTAATGACTAGGGGATAGCCTTCAGACAATTCATCATATGAAATGGATTCAACGTCCAGTTATGAAACCCTTGGAAGAATAGGCTGAATCGTAGACAGGGAATTTCCTTCGTCTGTCTAGAAAGCGGAAAAGAAGTCAACTTACTCGAGGGTGCGCGTCGCACTAAGCTAATAGCTGGCCTAGTTCGGAATGCTCAAACTAAACAAGCAAAGGAGGGAGAGGAGAAGGCATTTCTTTCTAAAAGCCTTATATGGCGGCATTCATTCCCATTTCCTCGACTCGCATGGGTGGGAAATCGATTGATGAGTCAGTTACTTGACTTGCTTGCCTTTTCGATGACATTGCGGTTTAGGCTTGCCACTAGGCCTGATTCTAAATTTTGAAAGCCCCAAGAAGAGGCTGACTTAAGTGCGAAAAGACTAGAATGAATGCCTACTCAAAAAAGAAATTGGAGGCAACGGGTTGATTGACTTAAATATAGGAATAGACAGTGTTTCATTTCCAGCTTCACTTCAAAGCCTGAATCTCTCTTTCTCACATCTTTAACTATCTGAATATGTTTGGGATCGGGGAATCCAGATATCGATTCACTGCTTCTCTCCAGAGATCTGAATCTAAGGTAAGCTTAAACCTAGAAGAAAGATTCAGATTGTTCTTCCAAGAGTGCATCTGGGGTAAAAACTTCCTTCTGTCTAGCTTCCATCTCTTGCTTGTGCGGTTCAATCTCTGTGAACGAAGATGGTCACTTTGTGGAAAATCATTAGGTATGAATATTGAAGGCAAGCTATCTCCTTTAAGGCAAAAAAGAAACGGTTTTTCGCACAGCTTGCTCATAGTGCAGGTCCCACTTGTATATTGTATTTGGCCGAAGAAGCATCGGATAGGTTGGAGTTCTTACCTTCTTGGGACTCCATGGACCAAGATCTGCTTTTATTATATGGGCAATATCGATCTACTTTAGTACATCATATGGATGTAGAAAAAGCTTCTGATTTTGATGAATTGGAAACATCTCTTTTCCATTTCTATTTACCTAGTTCATATCTTTCTTTCGTGTGTTCCGGGGAGTAATTCGATCTCTTCAATCTCGGGATACCACCTAAATAACTGCGGCCAGAGAGTCAAATAGGTCGGGAAGAAAGAGTCTGAGGTTGGGTTGGACGACATACATCTTGGTTGGTTCCCCCTCTTTGGAGGGTGATGACACCAGTAGCTGTGGAGCACAGATGACCATCTCTTCGAGCAGGAATATGGGGTTGGGCCCCTAGATCCAAGTCTAAAACAAAAAAAGAAAAAGCAGGTTGAGGTTTAGAATAGAAGGATCTGTAAATCAGACTAGTCAACCGCGGAATCAGGCCATTTGCTTAACACAACTCTTTCGATCATCGATTCTGACTCCACACTCCTCCCACTCATCTCTGCCAAAGCAGGAGGCAGGGACAGCTCGATTGAGTCCGAACTGCCTAATGACTCTCTCGCCCAGAAAAACTTCCAAACTATTGGCTCCGACAAAAGCCCTCCTCTGCTCTGAGAGCTTTGTAGTTTCAGCGTAAATCTTATCCCAGAATACAATACACATCATAGAAAATAAGGGGGGGTATAAGAATCAGCCCAGTAGCTTCAAGTTCTCTATAGAGTGTTGCATCAGTGGTAGTAGCATCAAGCAGCAGCACTCGCATGTAGCAACAGCAGAAATGAAACCAGCAGCAGAAGCACGAAGCTCCAAAGAAGAAGAAAACAATAAGCTCTGAAACATTGTGCTACGAATGTAACGCAAGATACGAAGAAGAGCAGCCCAATGAGTAGTTCGAGGAGCAGAAACAAACTGACTGACAACATGCACTGCATAAGCAATATCGGGACGAGTAACAGTCCGATAAACCAACCAACTCACGATACAAGGTAGGATCACCCAGAGGAACACCATCAGAAGTTGAATGTTAAACTTTCAACTCAATAGGAGTGGCACGTAGTATCAGTCAACCCAGCACGGTGAATAACCTCATTCGCATACTTGGATTGGGAGAGAAGAAACCAAAGGGGAGAGGAGGCAACTTCAATGCCCAAGAAGTCGCGAAGGGGGCCCAAATCCTTCATTTCAAACTCATGCAAAAGATGGTGTTTGACTTCCATTATACCTGCAGTGTCAGGACCTGTGATAATCATATCATCTACATACAACAAAAGAAGAACCGGTCCACTAGAAGAGTGACGCACAAAAAGAGCAGAATCATGTGCACTAGAAGAAAACCCAATCCTGGTTACTGCAGACTGATAACGTTCATACCAGGCACGAGGAGACTCGCCCATAAAGAGCCCGACGTAAGTGACAAACATGGCCAGATGGGTGAGGAAGCCCAGGAGGAGGACGCATATACACTTCTTCAGTCAGATGCCCATTCAAGAAGGCATTTTTCACATCCATTTGAAACAAAGGCCACTGACGAACAGCTGCAACAGAAATTAAGGTACGAACAGTGGTTATCTTGGCAACAGGAGCAAACGTCTCCTCATAGTCAATACCATACTCCTGAGAAAAATCCTTAGCAACCAACCGCGCTCGCTCAAGAGAACCATCAGAATTGGTTTTAACCTTGACCATTTGCAACCAATAGCATTTTTACCTTTAGGCAAGGGAACAAAATCCCGGGTACCAGTCTTATGAAGAGCAGTCAACTCATCTTGCATTGCAGTTATCCAACTAGAATCAGTACATGCTTCCTTATATGACTGAGTCTCATAAAAGGAGTGAATAGAAGCAAGAAAAGTACGATGAGAAGGAGGAAGGAGCAAAGAGAAAGAAGGCATAGCATAATCAGCAAAGAGCTGCAAAAGCTGTACAAGTGGTCTCAGTCTTCGTCGATGTAGTACAATCAGTTGTTCTTGTAGATCGAGGCTAAGGGCTGATAGGTGTGTCACCTTCCCCTACCCGTCTTTCTAGGCGCAGGCTTCGCGAAATTCCGCTATTCTTTGACTCCCTCCGCTAGTTGTCCGTCCCTCTTGGAAGCTTTCCGGGCTTTCCATTAGCTTTCGAAGCTGTCCTACCAGCATTCCAAGCCGCCTAAGCAGCCTAATCCAAGTCATCCTAGTAGGCCCAATGAGTAATCCCTTGAGTCAGCGCAAAATCCTTTCTTTCTTTGTTCTAGCGCCCGAGCCTTCTTTTTCTTTCTTCCGGTTGGGGAAATGGCTCATTATTATCACGTGTCGTGTCAAACCCTTTCTTATTCTTTAGTTCTTGTAGTCATTTTCTTACTTCCTCTCAGGGACCATCACCGTCTTTTGCCTTTTTTTTTTATTGATTAAGACCATTTTTTTTTTTTTCCCCCCCCCTACAGAGTAAGGGGTTCCGTCTCATGTTTATCAATCTACTTCTTCAAAAAAAAATACAAGGTTTTCCTCACGTTCTTTGTTATAGTTCCCCGGTTCGCTCCTGCCCACGGAGCAAGGAATGAGTTTTGTGTTCGAATCAGAGTCAGGTAAGGGCATCGGATCGAGTTTATCTTCTTGCCGGCCTAGCGCCATTGGCTTTTGCTTGACTTCTTGTAATTGTAAGAGCTGACCCAGCAACAAGGGCATAGCAGATCTATCTTTGCTTCATTCATCCTTAGCCTTAGCGCATCAAAGAGCCGCTTTCAGTTAGTGACCGCGTCGCTTTCAGGCTTCTTACACGTATTTTATGTGCCGCTATTCAAGAAGACGGAGAGGCCTAACAAAGGGCCTGATCAACCAAAGACTAAGGAAGAGGCGGTAGATCGAAGGAAGGGCCAATAGAGAAGAAAGAATGTTGAAATGAGAGTTGCATTTAGTAGTGCCGGCGCCTCATCCAAATGAGACTTGGAAAGCGAGATAGGGCTGGGAGGCAGGAAGAAGACTACACGAGTGGTGGTTCGGGAAGGAATCTCTTTGACTTTATGGTGCCATAGCTTCGACTCCATCCCAGTAATAGTAAGAGGAGGGAGCCGCTACTTCATCCTCGGGAGATCGGGATGAGGCAAAAGGGGGCTTTATTAAAGTCCTCTGGGTCGTCCACTAAGTGAGTGAAAGAGGTATGTATCATTGGGAGAATTTTGAAGAGAGAAGGCCCCACTATGTGAAAGAAGAGCTTTTTCTCTCATATTCACTTCTATAGAACATATAGAAGAAGTTCGCTTAGCCGCAGCTGAAGCCATAGATCTTGCCCGGTCCCAAGGTTCATCGGTCGGACTCCTCATTGGAAAAAGAATGGCAAAGGGTGGGATCAGGGAAAAGCTGTTTAAAAAAGAGCGCTTATAAGACAGATATCACGCCATAGGAAAGACATTCTGGCTTTTTGACTTGACTGACTTCTATTCCCTAGCCTTAACGCTGCCATAACCTTTCCCTTAGCTGCCACAAGACGTTCAAGCACTGCGAGTCGTGCTTCTAGCGAGTAAGCACTCCTCTATAAATTAGATGGACTGCACCCACATAGGGAGTCTTACTCGCCGATCGAATTATCTGAGAAGACCAATCTTGAAGCTATTTCCCACAGGAAAGGAAGTTCTCGACTGAAACATGTGTGAACCGTAAACCGATCCCTCTTGATAGACCTACTTACGTCACTCGAGCTTATCTCTGTTTCCGGTTGAGCAAGACAATCCCTTGAAAAGGCGCCCTTTCATTTTTGATAACTCCAGTACTGGGAGAGACTAGCGTAGAGTACTATATTAATAAAATCATTTACGCCTACGCTGGATATTCTTCATTGATCCAGATGTTCGAAAAGTGGCTCCGGCTGATCCTACCCTGTGAGCTAAGGATCTGTACCACTGCTTTTGTCTTGTCTTACCTCGAGTTAAAGCTCTAAAGTTCCACACGGTTCGGATCCACGGGCATAAGCGAAAGAAATAAAAGACCTAGACTAATGGCTCGATAAGCACAACAAAGATCTATCTCTAACCAGCTAGGAGAACTTCCATAAGTTAACACCGAGTGGGTGGGACTTCCAACGTTCGAAAACGAAGGCTAAGAACCTTATTTTGACTTTTATTTTTCTCTATGGGCCGACCTACGCCCAGGTGAAACAAAAGCAGATATATATAGTTTTGAGCACCTAAGGGACACCCAAAAACAAATTAGGCAAATAAAAGGAAGGCCCAATACAGACTCAGACTTCGAGGCGAGTTTCTCTCGGATTTCAACTGAATTCAATGACTGCTCTAGAGCCACCCCATTCTTTACGACTCATATTATCAATCAGTAAGCTATAGGCCGGAAAATCAATGGCAATAGCCTTCCCTCAATGCCAATTTCTGAACCTTTAGGCGAACCAGTGAGTCGAGAGAGACTATAGGCCAACCATACGAGTAGGAGAACCAGTGGAGAAAAGTTTAAAACATCGCTACTCTAAAGACTTCCAAGCCAGCTCCTAATCCTAAGCGCAGCGAACCTAAGAGATCCAATTTCGGCCGATAGGCGCCCACGCAGAGTTTCATTGCGAAATAAAATACAATACGTATATAAGACAAGACTGACTGGATACTTTAAGTGTGGGGCGATAGCAAGACAGAGGTGATGGCTATTCACAAGATTAGCAATTGAAATAGGACTGGGGTCCACACTCAACCCTCTCACTCGGAACCGCTTAGCAAACTCGGCTGAGCCGGAATGAAGCGACTTTTTTGCTGAGATCGTGACTCCTAACTTTAGGAGTACCTGCTCGTACACTTGGGATACACACGTATCAGCGATGAGAACATCATCACCGAGTACTGCATATCTTGTGAAGCGAACTCCAGGGTGCTCTGCAAACCACCCAATCCGAAAATGATGTGTGAGAGCAAAGACGGGCCAAGAGGCATGGTAACCCAGAGCAGAGGTTGTCCGACGGCGAATTGAACCTTTTTTTGTTTTTAGTAAAAGCCCTAAATCACTTGAGCCCTGTCTAGGTCTGGCTACCTATAAAGATCCTTCCCCGAACAGGAACTTGCTCGATCCGTGCAATTTCGATATTCCAATTCTTGTTGTCGGGTGAAGTTTTTAGTCTTTGAGGTAGTAATCCAATTTAGCACTTGATGAGTGTGCTAAATATAGCGCGAGATGTGATGTATTCTCGTCCGATGAGTAAGCCCTGCCTCCGAGTCTTCTACTGGTCACATGAACAGAAGTCTTGTGATTGGGCACGCCATTAGCGCGATCATTGGTCCGATGGATCAAAATCGAAATAGCTTTTTTTAAGTGTACACAAAGCATCCTTTCTTGCCTTTGTCTCTTGCTGGTCCGGTCATTCTCCCCAAGCCATAGGCCCATAAGGCGAGAGGCTTCTACACTTCCTAGCCTTGGTTCAACATAGATCAGATCCTACTCCCACTCTATCAGTTAGGCCTTAACTGGACACCTTCTTTTCGCATCTCTGGCTTAGTCTAGTCCTTCTCCTTTCCCTCTTTCGTTTCCATGGCAGTTCTCTTTAGAAAGAGTAGGGGGCCTGCTGGGATGTCGATTCATCAAGAACACCACATCGATGAAAAAAGAAGGCGGCTCTTTCTTAGTTGAATTCTAGAAAGGAAAGGTCAGAGAGAAGACAGGTTACGCCGAGACCTTGATCTTTCATTCCTTCCCGGGTTCCTTGGATGATTAAAAGTAGCAAGCAGTGCTTATTTCTCACTGGGATGGAGAACCCGTACCCATTCCCAACTCGACAACCAGAGACAGGCGACGTAGCCTTCAATTCCATTCTTCGTCTCCCTAGTCGCAGTATTCTTGCTCAACCCAACATGTATTTTATAGTGCCGTGCCGGGGCAATAGGCGCGCCGCAGTCACGCATTCGAGCAAGAGCCTTTTCTTTTCTTAGCTATGTAAATAGAGGGCCGGAGGAACGTTAGCTATTTGATAGCCTCAACAAAAGAATGGATTAAGGTGATAGAGTGTTACAGTAGACGCTAGGCTTCGTAATTTAAAAAAGAAAACGCTTTATCTGGCGGTCTCGTATACGTATAGTTGATCACCGCTGCCAGAACCTCTCAATCTCATAAGAGAAGAAAGCGTAAAAAAGAGCTTCCTCTATAATAAGAAATTACTATTATTTATCACCCGAGGGAACTGAACTCACTTAATCCTCATCTCTTGAACTCACTGAAACCAAGCCAATGGAGATTGGCGGGTAAGATGCTGGAAATAGACTTCGCCGAATCCCTTTTCATTACATCCAACCTTTGCTACTTCTGCTACCGCAGCCCTTGCTGATTGACTTGATTGGTCCCCTTCCACCTTTCTAAAGAGGAGAGAAAGAAATCCCCCTACTCGCCGAAGGAAGAGGCATCTCATGCCATGCTTCTTCTGTCCACCAATCGCATTCGTGGATATCTTCTTGCAGGAGTGGTGCTTTGGGAAAGAAGTGACCTGACTTCCCCAGGTCTGAGTTTAGTTGCTATTGAGGAAGATCCTTGTTTGGTTTTCAAATATGATACTTCCTCCAGCACCGGTTAGTGATTCAATCACAGCTTCTACTGTAAGACTGGCTACGAGAGCAGTCAGAGCTGATACGATCACATTTGAGAAGTCTCACGGGCCCTCCTTAGCTAGTCTTATGCCATTCGTGCCCTACGACTAGTAGTCCTTTCTCTTATTATACGACGATAGCACTCGCAAATCCCACTAACAACCGATTCTATACCAGCAGATGAAATAGTACCGGAGTCATTTCCATTAAACCTTCCACCAAGAACTGATTCAATAGCTGCGCTTACGGATAGTTGACCAAGAGCCTCTACGATCAGATCTGCAGCGGAAATGCCATTAACAGCGGGTAGGCAAAGAACGGTTATTCTCGATGCAGTGGGAACAGTAAGAGCGGAAAGGGTTATTACAAGACTGGGTATTCAATAGCCAGGGATGACAGCTTATTCCCCCAAAAGCAAGGGTCTCTGCAGTTTTCCTTGGTTTGCTATATGAGTGTTCTTAGATTACCTTATTCTGTTGATATAAGAAATTATATTCAATTCTCACTTCCTCCTCTTTATGGTTAAGCCGATAAAGAAAGATGAAGTCGAAAATCTCTGGACTTTCATGCATAGTCTAACAGGTAATATTTGGGAAGATTGAAATGAAGTTTCAGTCTTAGGTATTAAAGACAGAATCAATGGCACCGGCACACTATTCGTCCTATTTGGAGCCAACTAAGGAGTTGCGAAAGCCTGCTCCTACACCTCCAGATCAAATGGCTTTCTCGAATAAATTAAATAAGAATATTGAAGCAGGTCGCAGGCCGACCATGAAGAAGACGTATCGCTACATCTCTAGTGAGCAACGTCGAGAAAGTGATCCCATCTTTAATATCAGGAGTCTCTCTCGAAGAGGTTCCATGTCTAAGACTCAAGATCTCTCCAAACGTGGTCATACCAGTTGATGCCACTAAGGCGGAGAGAAGAGGGAAGAGGAAGCGCCCTGCCACTAGACGTCCTCCTTTACGTTCTCTTCTACGAAAGTTCGATGTTCCCACAACTGTCGACAAGAATGAAGGTCGTGAAGCGTCACTCCCCGCTGCATCTGCATGATTATAAAGTAATTCACTTGATGACGGAAATGGGCTATGACCCTTTCAAACAAAGGTGAAGAGCTTTGCGTTCCAACGACATCTTTAGCCCTCAGTCTCTACTGCTATTGGCAGCTCAGTTCCTCTAGCATCTGATTGTGGGCATCAACATATAAGAAAGGTCTTCTTTGGCAGATGGAGGCCATACCGAATCAAATACTAGAGTAGAGAAATTCTTTAGCGAAATGCCACATCCGACGTGTGCTCGGAATCCTACGCAGTAGCAAATAGGCTCTCTTAACTTTATACCCATACCCCCAACTAGCTGGAGATACAGATCTATCCATGATAGCCAAACTATTCTCTAATAAGTAATAAGCAAGATCGTGCCCCTGCCTTACTTCTTTCGGTATACAGCCCTGATACATGACATGAAAAGTCGCTGGCAGGATAGGCCCTAAGTCATTTTTTATTCTCTCTCGCCGCGGCTAGTGATGCGCTACGATGGTTTGCAAAGCTATCCAAGCAATTCTTTTATTCTTGGTCTCATTTAAACGAGTCTTTCTTTTCGTGGCACGTTTTCACGATCACTCTAGAAGAGTGACTATTGAACAAGTGAACACACTGCGATCCCTGCAATGCGAATCAGCTAGTCAATCCATTTTTGCTAAGCTGAATAGATATGAGGCTCTATAGCCATAGCCCGCATCTGCACCCAGAGACTCAGATGCTATAGTCAAAGCTTCTAGTGCGGCCTTGGGTGACCTCGGCAGCTTTGCCTCCCACTTTTGTAGAGCTACTGACAGCCTTGAAGAAGGGAAGCACTTCAATGTCTGCATGTCAGATGACCGGTGCTACCAATCCGGACCCTGTCCTTCCATTACGTATATAAAGTGTGCTTACGCATAAAAAAGGCTTAGGGGCTCCCGGCCCGGACTGAGAATTGGATTTTTCCCAATCTCTTTCTATCTCGCATGATGGGGCGAAGAGAGTTTCGAACCTAGCAAAGTCTAAGGCAATACCAATACTACTACTCTCTACTAATGACATATGATTTCACTGTAGAGCAATAACATAGAGAAATAGAATATAGTAAGGTAGTATAGTGTAAAAAGGACCAAGGACGAATAAAGAAGAAGAAGGAGTAGGAGCTAATTCGAACGGAATCGAATGATTACGAGATAAACAATGAGACAAAGCCAAGCACTGAGACAATTCACTTTGAGTACAGGGAAGTCCGCTGGTAGGAATTCTTCAGGGCGTATTACTGTTTTTCACCGAGGGGGTGGATCGAAGCGATTGCAGCGAAGAATGGATCTGAAACGAAGCACTTCGTCTATGGGCATTGTAGAAAGGATAGAATATGACCCTAATCGTTCTTCTCGGATCGCTCTAGTACGATGGATCGAGGGGGTGCAGCTACGCTGCCAGAGGAAATGCAAGACGATAGAAGAGTTCGCTCCGCCGCGTAAGATCCTCGAACCTACCACGCCCACCATACGCGGACTCTTTTCGTTCTCTTCCCTGTCCGTGAAGGTGGATCAAAGAAAGGTAGCTTGCTTCTCTCCTGGACTGATGGAGGCTTATGTAGTGGTCGGCCTTCCTACCGGAATACCTCCTTGGTCGAAGAGCCCCTTTACTAGTAAGGGCGCAGGAAGCAAAAAAACTTGCGCGAAGGACGTCTTCTTCTCTGCCTTCTCCTCTCCAAAGGCCAAGGGGGGACTGCATCCCTTTCCTTCGGTAGCTCTTTGACTTTCCCAAGGATAGCGGTAGCTGGGGCAAAGCCCGCTTTCTTCGCTCCGCGAATGAGAGAGAAAGTAAGAGGAAAAAACACGTTCTCTCTTTGCGAGGTCCGAAAGTGGAGAACACATAGCATTCTCTGGGCACATAGGATCAAACGTAAAGCAGCGCTTTCTTGGCAGAGTTTTAGGCGGCAAGAGACTTTAGGGCTTGTTGGAGCTTCTGAGCATAACGAATCGAAGCCGAAGACGGATCAAGGTAGCTTGCCTGCCAAGCCGATAGGCGAAGTGCCGAAGGATGGAGCGTGCAAAGTCGATCGTGCCCCTGTCGTGTGACCCGTTGGTCCTAAGCAATGTCTTGCGCGAAGCGACCCACCTAGAAACAGCTCTCCTTTATGTTAGGGGGTACTAAAATGGAACTTCGATCGGATGCGGGTATTCAATCCCGCCGCTGAGATGTCCAGCGGATTCTTGGGCCTTGACGAATGGCCGGCCACCTTTTACGTTAGAAGAGCAAAAGGCCCGGGGCATAGCAGGATGAACCAATGTGAATGAGTGTAAGCTTCGTTGCCCGAACACGATTGGTGCTGACCACACTAGGTGCTACCGCGGTAGCAAGAGAGGCCAGGCGGTGACAATTGAGAGGTTGTCACTGAGCATTCCTAGTCACACGGGAAGAGAGGTCAAATGGCAAGGCCATACGCCCGTTTGGCTCCTCGCGGAGTATAGCTCACATCCAAACATCTGATTGGGGAACGGGGCAACGCCCATGAAGCTCCGGCGGAAAGGGAAGGCCTGCCAGGCCGTATGCCCATGGGTGCAGGATTCTTCGAAAAAGCGCGGGCTGACTCGGAGGCCTAGGACCTTGACTTAGCAACGAATGAAGGGAAGCTCCTCGAGCTTTCTCCGCCAGCAGCTTATGTAGTGGTCGGCCTTGCTCCCTAAGCTTCGCTTCTTGTAGTCGGCCCGTAATGCCTCCCTTCATTTGCTTGCCCCCTTCCAGCTCAGAATGCCTAATGCCTATTATCTAGTTCTAGAAGCTAACCACCAGAAGCTCACCCTTCGGGTATCGCTTCCAGCGCAGGAGGCCAAGCATTCTGCCAGACGTCCCGGCCTGGGAGCCCCGTTCGCCTTTGATACTTCAGTAGATCTTCAAAAAAGAAAAAGAAAGACTTCAATGCAGCCTTAACTACAACTACATTACGCAAGCTCCACCAATACCTACCTATAGAGTCAAAAAAGTACCCGTGACGGTGACTTTCTAGGTTTATGGATTCAGTCAGCTAAACTCCTCAATAAATATCAACAAACAACATGTCGTGACCGGTGTAGCTAAGTTTCCAAAGGTGAACAGCCCCCTGTCCTTTATAGTCGTAAAGGGCTTCTCAGAAAAGTAAGGAAGGGGGCATTCGAAAGGCCGACCACTATATCATAGGCCTTCTGGTAGGAAGGCCGACGACTACACGGACTCTATACCAAGTCATGAGCGATAGCGAAGCCAAGCTGCCGCCTATAGGCGAAGGGGTTTACCGACGAAGACCTATGATATAGTAAGAAAGAAAGTACGAAATAAAATAAGGTTACGAAGTCACTTAGCCGTCTACAAAGGGAAAGGCGTCGGTACGGAGCCACGTCAGCTGTGGATATAGACTAGGCGCTATAAGGAACGGAGTCTTAAACTATGGACCGAGACTACACTAAGGAACAAGGAAAAGGAAGTTTGACTGAGCAAAGAAGTCAAGGAACGAAGCTGCTTCTCTAATAGCCCCGTTGAATAGGAGGGCGAAGGCTTTTTGAAAAAGTCTTTTTTGTCTGCATTTTTTTCTAATTTCTATTTAGAGAGAGGGGGCTTCCAGTTCTTAGGAAGAGCCGTACGAGGCAGCTCACGTACGGTTCGGGAGCCGAGCCCCGGCACAGGGGCTTAGGTCAACACTTATATAATAGCCAGTCATCAATTGGAAGCAGGCAAAATGGTGATAAATTGCGATTGGTCCAAACCTTCGACCCGCGACTTATTGCGACCCGCCCGGAATGCCCATTCATACTAAGACCTTATTCACACAGCGAAGAAAGGCCGAGTGGAAGGGGGCAGTCAGCTGGCTGCTTCTTGGCCACGCCTCCCCTGCTTATAGACAGGCGAGACTCTCTCTAAATTCGAAAATAGAAATCGCATACCAGTAGTCGATATACGTATAGGAAGATGGTTACATTATATTAAATGTCATTCAGGCCAAGGCTGGCTCGAGCCGCAGGAACTTTAGCTAAAATAATGAAGGAACCAGCACCCCCTACACTCTCTCTTAGGCTTGTGCGGCTACCTTCGGGTGTTGAAAAAGTCATTGATTCCCGATGCCGAGCTACTATTGGTATAGTTTCCAATCCCAACCATGATGCACGAAAGCAGGATAAAGCCGGTGGTTAGGCAGACGCCCCATTGTTCGTGGTGTTGCAATGAATTCAGTGGATCATCCTCATGGAGGAGGTGAGAGGCGCACAAAAGGTAATGAAATTCGGCGTCACCTTGAGGGAAGCCCACCCCAGCTGGATTTCGGGCAGGAGTGGGGAAAGGCAGAAATGAGTTCATGCCACGACGATCTATATGGAAGGGCAGTTTTTTTTTATGCATTCCTGTTGAGAAAGTCTTTTTTTATTTAGTTCTCCAACTCCGGATGAGTTTGATTGAGGCCTCCGGCGCCTCTTTTGAAGACTTTTTGTTTCGCCCCTCAGGGAGGAAAAAACTGGATTTGGTGCCCTCCAAGATCCCCCTCGGGCTCGGGGGGCCTTTGCCTTCATTTCTTGAAGAGCACGAGGTCACCTCTTCATCAATATAAAGGAAGGCCAGAAAAAATGTTTTGAATTCCCCCAGAACCCAATAAAAAATAGCGGTAAGTGATGAGGGGGCGGCTTCTCTTGTGGTAGTAATTGCGAACTCATTCCATTTTTGGAGGATTGGTTCCCTGTTCCTGCGGCTGAGAAGCCTCAAGCTCCGCCCCCCTTAATTTAATCAACCTCTATAAAATAAAAAAAGCCCTTTCCCTAATTTTTTAAGAGAAGAGAGATTTATTACATCCAATTACAAACTACACGAAAGTTGTCCATTTTTTAAAGGAATGTAGTCATCGGCAAGGTCTTGACTTAATTCTTTACAATGCATTGGAGCTAGGGATAATCTAGTTCAGTCATTACAGTTATAAATTTGGGGAGGAAATAGAAAATAGGGGATGGGGTCAGTTACCGTTGGAAGGCTAGGCAACTAAAGTCGAAGTCGGCTAGCTGGTGGTTCCAAAAGAAGTTCATCAGACAGGGAAAGGATTACACTCTTTTATACTTCGGTCCCCTTGAGAAGGCTTTCCCTAAAAAGGAAAGGGCTGTAGTAGCAGCGTATTAAAGGGCAACCACTTTTTTGGGGATAGGCCAGACAAGAGAAGTTTTCTCTGTGCCCGAGAAGAGTGGAATCCCTGGTTGAGTCTCGAGCAGTTTTTCACTGATCATAACCAAGTGCTTGTTGGGACGTCTTAGACCTTTCAATTGGCCTTTATCTCCAAAAAATATCGATACTTTTTACATACAAAGAATTTACTTGTTACTAATAGAGTTTAGCCTCGGTCATTCTTTAGATCCCTTGTTTCACTCCGATAGTATCATAAATCGGTTCAATGCAGAGGATGCATTTCCATACTATTAAGTATTAAGTAAATGAAATAAATAAAACTAAGTAGGTAAAATAGCTAAAAAAATACAATATGGATTCTACTACATCACTTACTCTACTGGATTTTACGGAGCCTGCTCATGCACGACATGATTGGGTCTGATCATAGAAAAGATTCTCTTCAAACGAACCGGCCTATCCTATGTATGCGGCTTACGCAGTGGTTAGAACAAAGACACATTTGGTTGTGAATTCCAATGTGGCGGATAAAGGCATATATCTGCACGGCCAAAACAATAGTCCAAGTCACACACTCCCATAATCCACACTTTTCTCTTAGGAGAATTCACTTCAACTATTCATGTCAAATAAATAATACAATTTTTTTGTCCTCAACATCCCTTAATTTCTAGGAATTAGTCACTTCAACAGTCTTCGATGGTTATATGGGTATCCAAAGTACGAATGAGATGGATATTTGTTGTCCCAACCATTCTTCTTAGTCCCGATCCCAATAAGGAAAGGGAGAAATTTATAGCAAAGTTTTCGTGTTGTTGATTCCTAAGCGTAGTGCTTCTTCCTCTATGCGGCCTAGTGGTACTAGTGGAGCAGGGTTAACCTGCAATACATAACCCATAGCCATAGGTTACCCCTTTTTGAGGAGTAACCTTTTCTTCAACTAAGGAACTGGCTAGCTCTCCTACGCTTCCTCCTTTGCTTTTGCTACTGATGGCATACTTCACTAAATCAGTCTGATCTGTCTAAACGGTGCTTGTTGCGGCGAGGAGATCTAAGCTGGTAATCCCATCTATCTTGGAGTTTTATTTGAGACAAATGTGCCTGCCCGGTCTCATCTCGAAGGCAGGGACCAGTTATCGGGAATGGAGGAAGCTTCACTTTCTTACTTTCTCCTTTCTTATGAATCTTTATTTCTTTAGGGGCCTCTCTTATCTGCCTGTAAAGTTCCTTTCCTTCCTCTCTACCGTTGGTCTTTGTTTTGGCGTCGCCGAAGAACCACGTCACCCGTAGGCGGCAGAACCTTGATTACTTATGAGTGCCCTAGTTAGCTATCTCATCCAACCAATTATCTTTTCTGTATGCTCTATGCAGTTTTTGTGCTTTTCTTTTCTTATTGCCTTATCCACTCACTTTCGTAGTCTAGTATTAGTCAATAAACTATACTCAGACATTTATCAATAGCTCGCTCAAGTTGCTGCAAGGTAAGCTTCCAAGCCTCTAATGAGGCAAAGTATGGAATCTTGACGTATATATCTAAAAACCAAACTCTGCAGTGAGCAGAATATTCTAGTAAACTGGCATCAAGAGGGGGTTCTTTGCCCTAAAGAATGTAGACCTAATGTCAGTCCACATAGAATGTCTCCTTGGGTGCCCCTTTCAGATCATGTAGCTAGACCCAGATTGTCCACCCAATCCTGTGACCAGGGAGTTGAAAATGGAGAAAGTGTCACTATGTTATCGATTCCAAACATTTTAGCCATGAACCCGTGGAGATGGGGAGTATAGAAGTCTTAGCTTATGTGATGGATGACATAAGCTTTGGAACTGTGATTCGAATTCTAATTCATATTCTTTTATCTTTCTATCAGAATCAGATTAGGATTCCATTTTCGATTGGACCGTTGGCCTTGGATTCAGGTTCGTTTACTTATACATACACATAATCGGATTTTGATTCACAGATTTCCTGGATCCGACACGGCTTCTTTCTTTGTGCATCTTTCTTTCTCCCAGTTATTTATTGTGCTTGTATCGTTCTTGTATCAGTAGTCACAGCAGTTACATTCCCCCTTAGTTCCTGCTCGCTCCCTTTTAACACCATTGGAAAGGTCTCTGTAAGGCTCCAGCGTAGAGATAGCTTCCTTCTTTTTGTCTAGTCAAGCTAGAGGGGAAGGTGAGTTCTTTGCAAAGGGAAATCCTCTCTTTCAGGCCTTAGTCCGGCCTTTACATTATAGGTTGAGACTTTACTTAGCCATCACCCACCTTTTCATTCTTTAGTTTGTGCTGTCTGCCAGATAGCAGATGCATTGGCAGCTGGGCGCTCCCCCTCTCTACGCCCTTGCTTTTCAAGGGGTCCTCGAATAATAAGCAGAAAAAGTCTGCCTGGCCCTCTCCTCTCAGGCGCAGAGATGAATACAATTGAGCGGCGTCGCTGAACCAAAGGCCTTAGTATACAAGGGCACAGCCATTTCAAAATAAAAAGCAAGCCCAGTTTTTTTCCAAATAGTCAAGGCACGGTAACAAAGGTACTCGCGAACCTCGTAGCGGGGAGGCGGCTTATTGCAGCAATTTGAATCAGTAATCATCAATGCATAAGGGAATAGCACGAAGCGATGATATGCTTCGCAAGCAAATGGGTCAATGACTAGATAGCCACGGTAAGATGGAAGGCCCGCGCTAATGCCCTTAGAGTCGTCGGTCGAATTACCGATCAATTAGATTCTTGGATGAGCGGAACATCTTTGAGACAAATCATCTCTACCCGGGTACATAGCTTCATCCAAACCATGGATCCACGAATTGTTGACTCGCTCGAGAAAAGAGCTTCGTAGTTGGGAGCTCTGAGCCGATGAGCGATATGTAATCCTAAGATTAGAACTATGGTGTACTACTTCCCAATAATATAGTTGTTTGATCTTTTAGATTTTTTCTATTTTAGGTATTTTGCCTAGTCTTCATTTCCCTTTTTTCTATTTTATCAAGATGGATAGTAAGAAAGCATGAATAGGCGTTTTAGGAAAGTCGGGATTTTAGGCTAAGGAGCTAAAGGCTTAAACCAATAGTTGTTGAGTACCCAGATGCAAGGCAATCATTCCGGTTATCGGAGTTGAAGCTTATCTAATAAGATAAGGATAGGGTGGCATAGAAAGAGGAGTTCTCCTCAAGTTTCACTCGAATAAGAGTAAGAGGCAAGGGAATCTAATCCCAATATTCCCTAATAAGAAAGGGGCTAGAAAGGTTGTCAAGGGAATTGAACTATCTCTTGCAGCTGCAGTCTCGGGGTTTCACTAAGTCTTTTTTCTTCACCGGAATTGGAATCTGAGACAAGAAACGAATCTGGGACAAGAGAATCAAGCGAAACTGCTGGATCCCATGCTGTTCACAAAGCGGCTCTTACTATAGACCCGGCTATCTCCGAGTTGAAATCGATCCCAGATCCAGGAATCTTTCTGATCGTGACTTTATATTAGGAAAGTCTGTTCTGTCTAATATCTATCCTGGCTGATAGTGCTGATCATTCCTTTGTTATTCTTCCAGGATTGGCTTATCTTATTTTGAAACAGATTGGACTACTTCAATAAGTCCCAATCCCGGGGCGGGAAGTTCAACAGCTTGTTAGAAAGTCGTTCAAAACAAAGGCATGAAGCTTGGCATGGATAAATTTCCAGTGGAAAACTTGAAGGCCTCAATCAATGGAAGGGTTCGCCTTCCAGTACGAACAAAGGTTCTGTCCACTCCCTTGCCGAAAGCTTTGCTACCTACACCTAGCTTTGAAAGAGTTGTGGAAGCTGCCAGTCCTGGTTGAGGAAAAAGACTATGCCAAAGAACGTTTATAAACCCGAGTCAGGTACAGGAAAAGCGAAAGAAGCTCTTCTCTTTAGCGGTAAACTTTTTCATATAATCGAATTCTTGGTCAAGGAGCGAAAGATAACTCGAAAAAGGCCAATAGGTATAGAAAAGATCGTCAAACGTCTCTCTCTTATAGCGCGCTTAGCAGCTCTTTATTCCTTTAATGGCTACTTCCATTTCCATCAACGGCCCTTACAAGGTTCATCCAGGCTGCCTGACTGCAGGCATTCAAGTTTAAACTGGGTAAGACTCCCCTACACGCTTACCTATCTAAACATGGCATTCTCTCTTTCTGCCTTTATGCGACTAGATTCAATATGCCTAGGACACGGTTTTCCTGCAAGCTGAGTGTGTAAGGCCCCGCGGGGAACGCCCTTTACCTTTAGGTCAGAATGCCGCTATCATGTGCGGATAAGCCTTCCGATTAGCTGACTGAGACCATCTCCGGCTTATAGCTGGTAGAACTAGATAGCTGTTATAACGTCAGGTCAACTGCAATCTATGGCAGTTTCTTAAAGTCTGTAGCTCCTCAGGTCGACTAAGCCTAAGCCACTAAGGAAGAGTTTTGAATCAATATCTGCTATCTACCCACTGCCCATAAGCATGTCTGAATAAGCCTGCTGATTAGCTTAGCCCACCCCGACCACCTCTATAGAAAGGTCTTACCTATTCAAAAACCAAGCTATCTATATACCTTTAAGCCCACGGTTTCATTCCAATGCTTTGATTAGTTACGAAGACGTGAACCTTTACCTTGCATGCCTGTCTACATCGGATAAACTAGAGTACTGATTTCCAGAAGGGAATGACTTATTACCGGGTTAGAAAAGTGAGTCTTCCTTTCATTGCTTGCTTGGTGCACACTTCCTTTTCCTCATAGTGACTTTTCCTGAGAACCCCAAGCCTGAATACCTGAATAGAAGGCAAGGCCAAGTAGCTCCCATTCCAAAAAACCTTCTCTTAAAGTCAGTGTCTTGGTTGCAGCTCTTAAAGTAAGAACAGGATTCCGGGTTGCTCTATCGGTAAAGAAATTCTATTACCGGACGGAGAAAAGAGAACTAACTAACCTTAACCCTTAGATCTCTGGTCGGCTATCGGTAAAGGAACCTTCTGGCCGGTTAGGTTAAGCAAAGAACGCAGGTAACCTTACCGGGGTTTATTCGTGAAAGTCAGCTCTGACCGGGCTCTGGAGATGAATACCGATAGAGCTTACCGGATGCACCATCGACCTCAGACAGCTCGCCCGTGCGGGGGAAGAACTAAAAAGAAAAAAAAACGTAGTGAGTGAGTAAAAAGCAAATACCAATGAAGACCAGACCTGGAATTTCAAACACGAAAACGTAGTAGCCTAGCCGGGGAGGGATCTTCTCCAGCTCCACTCCTTGTTATATATATAGTTATAGAGTGGAAAACTACGCTTAAAATTCAAGCCATGAAAGTGAATTTTTGGATTATAAAACATGGCCTCGGAGACCTTTCCTAGGTGGATCGAAGAGCTGCTAACAAAAGGGCGAAGTCGGGATGGATTCACACATAAAATAGACGTGGACGGATGGAAAGCCCGGAGACCAGAGACCGGAAGAAAATATCCATTTTTTGGAAAAGACAGAGATGAAGATTGAGCCAATGTTTTAAAAAATACCATAAGCAGATTAAACTTCTATTTATTATAGATTCTATATTTTGCACCTTCAAAAGAGATCTCGAAGGGTATATTGAATTACCAGAAATCGATTCATGTGTACTTCTTGCTGCTTCAGGGAAAGAAAGATAGAGGAACTAATTCAAGACAGTCATTTTGGACGGGAAGAGTATGACATATTCCAGGGGCAGATGCCACTTCCACTTGAATTAAGGAATGAGCGTGGTGCGGGGTATATTACATACAATAATAATAATTCTTGTTTCGCTACAGCCGTACCTCCGTACTCTGATTTGACAGCTCGAAAGGGAATAGATGTTCCATCAAATGGATGAGTGTACCGTAGTGGAGATATTGATTTGGTAAACGGAGGACCCCAAGCAAGAGAGCTCAGACCGGCATCTATTTTATAAAAGAAGAACTGGATTGACCAGACAGCTCAACCGTTGACCAGCCAACCGGCAAATACATTTCATTTATACATAAGGATCCAGCTGGTGTGCCACACCTCCAACTCCAACTACTACAGGAAAGATTCCACCCCCTCTCATGAATCAATTTGATGGATCGTACCTTCCTCTTTTGGAAGTTGGAAGTCCCGCCAACCGGTGGCTCTGGTTTACCATTATTATTATTTACCGTTATTTCCTCCTCTACCTCTATAATTGGATTAGTGGTTAACTACTACTTTACCCTAAAATTAGTATGTTGTTGTTAATATTCCTTAATTCTTATTATGTTGGTACTTTTTCCAATGCTATTGAGAATTCTGCTTATTCATATGCATGTGTTATCCCTAAATCCCCATCAAAGTCCAAATCCTCAAAAACTACCCAACGTTTTCCTTATGTCGCAGCAACCAGCTAGCTAGAACTAGAAGAAGAAGGCGAGCTAGCAGATGAACTAAGCAGCATACTTTATATGTTGAATAGAAGGAATGAAACCGACGTACCGTATTGACCGGCGGGTATATATATATTAATGAAAGAACTAAACCACCGCCCGCAGCTGCTCCTCCAACGCCAACGGCTACTGATTGTGTCAGCCATTCCTTTCTTCTTGCTATTGATATAGTGGAATTAATTCCAGTCATTCCCTTAAATCCGTTTTTTTCAGTTAAAGTCTATCTCTAAACGGGGATTGATGAAGAACAGCTCCAAGAGACTTTAAGCCATAACTTGACCTAGGCCCAGCCCCTTAAACAATATATTCATAGTTACAGCCCCTTACTCTATGAATGTAATGTTCACCTTAAGTTCAGGTTAGGTTACCGATTTCCCGCGTTCTGTTCTTCTTCACTTTCAAATAACCTATTTTGATGGCACGATTGGAATTACCCGAAACACCCGGTAAGGTGAGGAGCACATATACATATTCTCGCAGATATCGCCCCGAAAAAAGGACCAGGATTGATTGACTCGAGGATTGACCAAGACCGAAGCTCCCTAGCTCAAACTAAGATCTTGGCTTCGTAACTCCTTCCTTCGCTCATTGGGTATGCTCTGCCTTTCCTTTATTAGGAAAATAACGAACTCATTCTGATTTGAGCATTAAGTCAATACAAAGTGCTGTTGGTCTTATCGCTTCAACAACCTAAGCCAAGTAGGTCCTATCAAGCTACTACTAACATCTTTTAACAACTATCTGCCTAACCAACTCAACTTCCTTAAGCCAGTCCCTTCCCAGGGATTAGGACGAAGGCTTTTTAACCTTTAGACTTGAAAGCACTCCCAAAGCTCTAACCCTTCGCGCTCCTCATTCCTTCATACCCGGCAAAGTCCGCCTTAGAAGATCCGATCCCAAGCCCCATCCTCCTGTTTTATTCTTCTCGGAAACGAGGAGCCCTAGAGCCTTCTGAACGAAAACCTCCTTTTTCAACAAATACGCTCTTCCATTTAGGCCCTCTTTCTTTGGATTCAACTGAGACGAATTGCTCGTTGACGGCTTAGATCACCACGGCATCTTACCTTGCTCTTGTCTTTCTTGCTACCGCTCTGAAAGCTTGAACTAACTCCGAGATTCGACTTCCTTGCCCAGTCAATCTCTTGGCGTGTAGCTACCTTCCAGCTTTCGGAGGATATGTCATATCTGCTTCCGCTTTCTCACACCACAACTCTAACGTCCGGTCCTGAGTCACTCTTTTTGATCTTCTCATTCACTCTTCGCTTTAGTCTTCGGCCAATCGCAATGATTGACATGACTGGGAGAGTCAAGGTCCCCCCTCCACACTAAAGGAAGGGGCACTTCTTTCGGTCGATTCAATGCTTTTAATCCATGCATGGAAGGTCACTGTATGCCAGAGGAAAGAGATCTCGTCCCTGCCCCGTGGGCAATCCATCAACACTCATTCCCCTCTGGAACAAAGACAGATTCAAAATCTCTAGCTTACTACACCCTTCTCTCTAGAGCCTTTTTCCAAAACTCTTCCGCTCCGTTCCACTCCTGAGTCCTATTTTCTTCTCCGAGTAGCAGCTGTCTTTGGGTAGTAGAGTCCTCGTCTGCTTATTCGCTAGCCTCTCTTGCTTTGCGTTGGAGGGGTATAGGCTCAAATCATGTACTGCAGATGGATGCGTCAAGTCTTCATTTCTTGTTCTTGCTGGCTTGGCTTCTTCTTTCTGGCTTAGCTTGCTTCTTCGGACTGGCTTGTAAGGTGAAGGACCTATCGGGTTCTATCTCATGATCTTGGACCTCGGACGGAGGGATTTCATGCTTCTTTGTCTTCTCTTGATTGGCCCATGAGAGATAGGGTTGAGGACGTTATCAAGGAAGTCTGCTCCCAAGGAGGGAGGTGCTTGTTGGAGGTGCGCTTTCACGCTTGTGAATGAGCAAGAAGTGGGCTTTGACTTCTTGAGACGATCTCGAAGCTCTTTGCTATGATAGCTGCTACCTTTCTTTAGAAGATGGAAGTGAGTGAAGCGGACGGAAGGAGAAGGTTGTGAAGGTCGTAGGCGGGGGTCAAGCGGGTGGGTTTCGGTGCAAGCGGTCGACGAGCCGCAAGGCGAGCAAGCACCATTATCAAGTCGGTCTCCTAAAGAAAGAGATGCAGCTTTAAAGCTGTGGTCTTTGCTTTTTCAACGTTCTTTGATTCTATAAGCTCTATTGAATTATCCAGGGAAGAAAACTTGTATTATTAGCTAGAACGTCACTATAGAATTGACTTCCATCCCTGACGAAAGGACAATCCGCTTATACTACAAATTTGACTACTTGTACGGTTTGATATCCATACAAGACTAGAGGCCGCCTAAGCTAAGCAATCGACCGCCTTGACCTTTGATTCCATGGAGATAGAGGTTTCGGGTGGCGGGTGATCAAGAATCAATGAAAGGAGATGCTGGGCGTACCTTCCCTCCGAAGCTCTTATGGGGGGACATCCTTTCTAATACGCCTTTCCCGGACAAGGATTAGCTTCGATCTTCTTGCCCTTGCCTCTTCTTCTTCTTGGTCTCGCTTCTTCTCTTTCTTCTCCAAGCCAACCATCCGATCAAGCCGGAGTTGAACCAGCCTTTGGAGTTGGGGTTGAACTCCGCTTAGCCGACCGAAGAGCTATAAGAAGCTTTGGACGGAGTGGGACCTCGCTTCTAGGGCGGCAAGTGCTTACGCCTCGGAGGCCAAAGGACACGTACCGACAAGCTAGATCATCGGGGAGGGAAGAACCACTTTATACTCTTGTTACGGGGACCAACTTTAGGCTTTAGCAGAGACAAGAGTTCGGATCCTATGGTATGGAGCTTCTAGGACGGCGAGTGGGGTACTTTGTTGATAGGAAATCAAGAAGTCAAAGTGAACCTCCCATCCTTTCTCCATATGTTGGGGATGTGCTCACGGAACTAATTATCGAATCCGTGGAAGACTCATGGCCGGCTCTCGGAACAAGGTCGGGAAAGAAGGCATCTCCGTCGGCGTCTAATATGTAATTCCCTTACTTCGAAGCACACGGAAGAGGAACTACTAGTCCCCTACGAGTGAGCGAGAAAAGGGAGGAGGAAAGAGGCCCCGGCGAACCGTCATAATTAGTGAACAAGTGTAAGCTTCGCTGCCCGACAGTATGAAGTACCGACCACACCGAGGGACGGGCCCCGAAGCGAAGGACGGGAACGAGCGGAATCAATGTGTTCCAATTTCTGGCCTTGCACCGACCATCAAATGGACCATGGACTAAACGGCCACTGCCTGAAAGGACTATGTCCGGGGACCGCCGCCCCCCCACAAGGTACATCTTGCGCCTATGGGCCGCTATAACTATCCAAGAAGACACTCGAAACTGGAAGGATAAACAAACCAACCCACCCGGTGGACTGCCGAGCTACAAGTCCCACGACACAGGAGCGGGATTCTCTAAAAAGCCAAGGTCGCGGGTGGCCAAGAGGGCCCACTTGGAGACTTGGGATCTCAGCAGGAAATGCGAAGGTTGCTTAAAGCCGGCCGGCCGATAAGCGAAAGAGAATCAACTAGTTTAGTTCTGATCCGAGTAGGCTCATAATAGGGAATACTCCAACCCCGGGAACCGGGGCTTCGCCATCCTTCGTTTGCGGTCGACGTGTACCATAAGCACAAGTTGTAACGAGTCCATTCGGGGACCCCATTTTAGACTTTCGAAAGCCTATTCGTCAAGTTCAATAGCTTCTCTTCAAATAAGATAGAATCCGTGGGCACCTGGGTTGGTGTATGTCCGCGGCGTAGGATGGGACTTTTGATCAAGAGAAGCCATTAAGTTAAGGCCTGGTCGAAAGGAAAGAAAGATCTCTTCTCTTATGATATTTGTCTTCTGCTACTTTAGGAAGATTCGGACAGTCTTTTATGCCTTCTTTTAGGCGTCTAGACGCCTTCCCCAATTCTAGGATGCGTAGTAGCTCTAGTCGGTCCGTAGCTGGATCTGGATCGGGATGCGGAGTTTGAGCTTTCGGGTAAGGAGGAGATGGCTATGTCTATACCTTCTTTGGTTCAGTCTTTGGTAGTAGGCGGGATATTGAAGGAGTTCAGGTCTAAGGGCTGGAGCTTTATTCCCATTCCCAGTAGATCCGATTTTTTTCTCTATTGTCCACCAAGGAAACTCCAAACAACTCCACTTCGACTGAGCAATCTCATCGATCTGACCTTCCTACTCGGTATGGAAGGACTCTTGACTGACTCTGAGACTCAATCGTCTGACTTGGATTCGCATACTGGGGTAAAGTCAACCCTATCCTCTTGTTGCCTTAAGGCTTCCTTTATGTACAGCTAAGGTTTTTCTTCCTCACTCATCAAATCAAGTAGACAGACTTCTAGATGACGTGGCCCTTTCCTGACATCATCACACCCGGGGATCCGTTTTCAAAAAGAAAGAGCTGCGTAAGTTACGAACGAGAGCACTCCTGCGGCTGCTTCTACCGATTGGTATGTTCCTCAGATCTTTTCAACGAATGATCTGATGGCGATCCCCCACGAATGATGAGACATGTCTATGAGATTAAGGAAGGGCTGGAACTAAATGAGTGGATGGCTGGAGGAGATCCCCCTCCCCCTAAGCCTTTGAGTTATGAATAGTTCAAGCTCCATTTCCTGATGGGCCGTCTTCCTGAAAACAAAAGAAAGATAGAAAGACCAATGACAGGGCTAATGCTATTGCTACCTCCTCCTTTGCTCCTTCACTTCATGCCTTTGCTCACGCAAGCGAAGGTACTAGAAAAAGAGTTCTATAGACATCAACCCCATATCCCTTTTTAGCTCTTAGGTAAGTAAGCTCCCCGAGGCCCCCTAACAACATAACTCCTAGGCTAGCTACAGCAGTTCTGGCATCCGCTTGGGGGACTCTAAGCTAAGTAAGGATCGGAAATCCAGGCTTTTGAGTTTGTAGCTAGGCAGCTTGCTCTAGTTGCTACGGTAAACTGGAGTGAAACGTTAGAGACTGAGGGCTAAAGATGTCGTTGGAAGGTTTTTACAAGGCCGTTACGGAGATGCGAACAAAGCAAGCCGCAGCTCGCGATCATAGGAGCTATGGACTTCGGCACTTGGAGCTAATCGTCTCCTAGCTGTTCTTCCCGAGTAGCATTAGCAAAAGCGAGCGTAAGGGAAATGGAACCACAAAGACTGATTTTGAATTCACTTCAGAGATCTCAAATAGTGGCTTTTGAGATAAGTGGTGAGTGGACAGGACGGATGGAAACATGAGCTAAAGCAAATCTTTAGTTCGAAGTTCCCTACTACTAATTAGTATTAGTAGCTAGGAAGCAAATCCTATAGTTAGCTCGAAACCTTGCAACCGGGAAAGCAGGAAAGGCTGCTAGGGGAAAGAGAACTACAATCAGTCTACTCAGTCCCAGTACTCCTTCTCGATAAGTAAGGTAGGGTTGCTGTTTAGTTCCAGTAATCGAGCTAGGTCTGTTTGTTGGCTATTCATAGATCTGGAGTTCTCTTCGATCCCGATCTGCTGCCTTCGTACAACCGGCACGGGGTATTCATAGGCTGCTGGCCTCGATCGGTCCACTAGAATGGTTGGAGCAAGCTGGAGCTCCTACTATCCCTAGAAGGCGATGTTGGTTGTTGGCTAGGCTCGACTTGAACCATCGGGCTTACCCATATTTTCCTGAGGCTTGCCGGCATTGAGTTTGACCCCTCACTCCGTCACTTGCTTAGTTGTCATATGAACTACGTCTTTTCCCGGGCACCGAGATGGGTGCCTCTTCTGCTTACATCGGTCATTATAGGACCTTATGCCATGATTCAATGTTACCTAGAAAAAATCCTGAGTGACTTACGTGCCACATTCCGAGTGATGGAATAATCCTTAGGAATTCATTACATGGGGGGACTCCTGTATAAGCCGATCTAGGGGCACCTGTCGGTATTTCAACGAGTTGCTGCTGTTTGAAGCGGATGCTTGTTGGCAGTGAGGCACGCCCTGTCTTTAATCGTAAGGGGCCCTTTTTTGTTTCGTTAACGCAGCTGATCGTTCATTCCTAGGGAAGTGAGAAGGAGAAGTTATTGGCGGGATAGAGATAGTTTACTGACTCGGCTGGATAAGGAAGCGGTGCGGAAAGGAAGATAGGGCCCGGAAGGGCTTCTTTTGGACGTAAGAATGTTAGTTTGGATCAAGGAGGAGACTTCTCCACATGTTGTACTTCCCTCTCTTGCTGCTTGGAAATGAAGGAACAATGCAAGAACTCCCCATCTTGGTGATGGGACGAGCGGTTGCCTTAATCGACGGGAAAGGAATCCCTTCAACGAGTTATATAAGGGACCATATGACTTGTCGGATGCAAGATGCCCCAACAAGCAAGGGAAAGAGCAGCTCCCTATCTATAAATTAGTTGTAGTGGAATTACCCATTCCATACTGCCCTTTCTTCGATCGATGGGTCCGATTCGTAGGTAGAAGCTTCTTCGGAGGTCTACCATTCCTATTACTGAAAAAAGGGCAATCTTTAGGCTCCAATCCAATAGGACCTATGCAAGCATCATAACCGGCATTATAAGACTATCTCGTAGGCCGTAGAAAGGTAGCTTAAAGCTTCCAGGGGGTGGAGTTAGGTAGCCTGACTCGATAACTAATCCTACTCGGGGAATATCTTAATGTGTGCCACCAGACCTCCCTCCCGAGTTAAGTGCGACAGATCGTTCTCCAACAACGGCGGAGTTCGTCAACAACATCCCTTTCCCCTTTTCATAATAATAAGGTAAGCTCCGGAACCGGCGGAATTGCCCAATCCTATCTTTCCTTGAAGTCGATCCGGAGCGGGAGCAATCGATACGACAAATTCGGACTCGGACTAAACTCGATCACTTGGCAAGAGGGGTTTAGGAGGTCTTTTTGAGCGCATGTTGATCATTTCGAAAAAGCTGGTTTCGTCTCATTTTCCGGAAAGCCGGTCATACTATTCCACTTTAGCTAAGCTAATGATGAAACAGGATCCGGATTTGTCCGCACCTGCAGATGATGATGTCCACTCCCGGCTCGATGCGCTTAACGAAAGAGAACTCTCTAGATTAAGTATAAATAACCTTCGTAATTAAGCGAGCATCCTTTATTTAAGTGAGTAGGGGTGCGTCGGACCGCCGACGAATAATAGGTACCCCCACCTCGGGCAGAGTTAGTGAGCCGTGTAATAGGCGACCATTTCGCGCGGTTCGGGGGGCACTCGAGTCGGCCGCCGGCGCCCGACTGCGTCTTAACCCCTATCCCATTTTTGGGCCAATTCCTCCTTTGTACTACCAAAAAATGAGATTCTTGCCGAATCCGAGTTTGCTCGCTCCAACCATTACCAAACTAATACCTATTCTGTTTAGTACTTCAGGTGCTTCGTTGCGTATAATGTAAATCCCGTAGCGGATCAATTCCAACGAGCCTTTCAAACTAGTACTTTTTGTAATCGACTCTATACCTTCTTCAATAAACGCTGGTTCTTCGATCAAGTTTTGAATGACTTTCTAGTCAGATCCTTCCTGCGTTTCGGATATGAAGTCTCATTCGAAGCTTTAGACAAAGGCGCTATTGAGATATTGGGCCCTTATGGTATCTCGTACACATTCCGACGATTGGCCGAGCGAATAAGTCAACTTCAAAGTGGATTTGTTGTGCGAAGAGTGCATTATGACCCGTGGCCGCTCGCTCGGTGGGGGCGGTTCCCCCGTTGTGGGTAAACGGTAAACCCGACTCTACGAACCCGAGGAAAGGCTGCACGGCAGTAGTAAGGGCGTTAAGACCGGAGCTTTTTGTAGTGCTAGCAGGAATGCAAGTGAATGAATCCCATCCCCTAGCGAGTGAAGTGCTTACGCCCCTTTAGAGAAAGGGGCGCGCTAGCGCTTGTATAATATATATGAATATAATCGCTCTTGTTATATATATATAATAAAGTAAAGGGGGCTGAGAAGCTGTTGTTTGCTGTCTACTTCGCGAGCCCACTGCCCCGTTCTGTAACTTCCCTTCTTTCGTCCGTCCACGAGGCTGTAAAAAGAAAGAAAGGGGCGGCTATCTAGTGGGAGTCGTTTCGGTTGTATGCCACGAGGTCCCTATGGACAAGAGGACAAGTGAATCATCGCTTTTGGGCGCAGGCAGCCCTCTACCATCCATCCCATTGCATTCCATCGTCTCGTATTGTACTGTACCGTATCAGACTAGATACATCTATTGAGTGAGAGAAAGGTAGTGTAACTAATAATGTATTCTTCATTTTTATATTGATAGGGATCCCCATTCATTCCTAGATTCCCGTCACTACGGATTGATTGCCCCTACCTAACTACATGGTAGTGGTCTAGGGAGCGAAATTGCTAGAGCACGGGAGAATGAAGAGTAATGATTTCAGCAAAAGCAGCTGGACGGACTACTCTAATAAGTCTAGTGACTACTAGAGTAGAGTTGAGTCAAAAGCTATGGTATCGCAGCCTTCCGAGCGAGCCTCCGGGATCTCCCGTAAAGCCCCATGATGTGGTAAAGGGAGGATATTAGGGGAAGCAGTGAGTGGAGATTCCCCTGCAGAGAGCCGGATGAGGGGAGACCCTCACGTCCGGTTCGGAGGGCGGGGATATCCCGACCCTACTATCATTATGCCTTTGCAATGTTACTTGGTTCAACTCTATTTGTGACCTTTTCTCGTATGTGGGACTCTCTATCTTCTTGGATAGATAATCGATCGTCTTTTATTTTTATAGTGAGTTGTTTTTATAATAAGAAGTCAAGTCAAGAATAATAATAGAACTGGAGGAGCTTGCCAGGATCGCTTGGTAAGCAAGCAGGCGCCAACTTCCAGTTCTTTCTCTTCTCTTCTTTCTTTTTTAGTTTAGTCATGATCAGAATAAAAGGTAGTTCGCTGGGTATGTCTTTTGCTCCCAGAGGTGCAGGTTCGAGTCCAGCTCGTGACAAGGCCTTTTTGGTCATATCTCTTGGTCTTGCTTGTTATTGTTATATTAAGTTCCTTCCCCCGAAAATTCGGGTTCACTTCTTTATCCTTACCTGGAAGCGGCGGTTAGTACTTTTTATCTTTCAATTTGAAGGGTTATCGGATTCCCCTCACCAACTATTAGAAACAGATCAAGGGAAGAACCTGATTCCCTATGGAGACTACCCGGTCCTCTTCAGTGGGGGCTTTTTCGCCAGGCAGGGTGAAATCCTTTACAATCTCGAATTACCAAAAAGTCCGTCCGTCCAATCACCTGTCCGCCTCCTGAGAGGATTCTCGAATGGAGCATACCGGTTCATGCCATCAATCCTCCTTTGCTTTTGTCACTGATGGCATACTTCACTAAAAAACACTACTTATTCCAAACTAAGATAGATTTCCGATCCTAACAGAGAATTCAATAGCAGCAGAGTCGTGGAATCCTGTCTCTTTAGAAGGGCATCTTTCCCCCTTCATGAAGTGAAGGAGGAAGACCGCTAAAGGAGGAGATGTTAGCCATTTGGTACTAGTCTTCCAAAGCCCTAGCTATAGCTGCAGGATTGGGAATGAAGACACGTCTTCAGCGGTCCTTGTCTTTGTACTTGCGCGTAGGCCCTCTTACCCTGAGATCAGCTGCCCAAAATCAAGGAAATACTAAAAATTCTCAGTCCTAGATCTTATAAGCCCCAGATTTCAAACTAAGAAAGACTACTTCTTTACTCACTACTAGAGAAAAAAGAGAAAGGCTTCTCACTCTCCCCTTAACTCAACAGCTCAGAAAGAAGACCTAGTTGCACTGATTGTAAAGGATTCCCGCATATCCCCATAGAAAAAGAGGAAGTCAATCACTGGGAGGAACAGCCTTCAATTAGGCACTCGGAAGAGTGGGATCGAACTACTGCAAGATCCTATTATAAAAGTTTATAGGTCGTACGTCTGAAAGAGTTCATCGTACAATTTCGGCGATTACAAAAGGAGTATATCCCTCTCCCTCTCTGTCTTTTGACTTCCGTCGTTCAGGAAGAACGACTTCGCCTAATTCTTTTGAATCCCGGCCCCCCACTAAGCAATTACGTTACGACCACTGAACAAACTTGGTTGACGAACATGGTTTATGCGCCGCTAATGTAGCGGCTTGTCGAGCATTTGACAAACTCACACCATCCATTTCAAATAGAATTTGTCCCGTAGAAACACGAGCAATCCAACCCGTAGGATTTCCTTTTCCTCTTCCCATTCTTATTTCTGTAGGTTTCCCGGTAATAGGGAGATCCGCGAGAACTCTTACCCATATCTTACCATTTCTTCGGAATTGTCCGATTATAGCCCGACGCGCTGCTTCAATGGCTCGATATGAAAGACGACCAGCTTTACAACTTTTAGTGCCATATCTTCCAAAACCAAGTTGTGTACCGTCCGGTTTGCAACCCCTACTACATCTGCCTTTACGATATTTACTATATTTTAAGAAAAGAGTAGGATGGAAGAACTGGTAATAGACATAAAACCAGTTCTTCCTCCCGAATTGAGACCCATCATTCAGATAGATGGAGGTAAACTAATGAGTTCAGATATTAATGAACTCTATAGAAGAGTTATCTATCGGAACAATACTCTTACGGATCTATTAACAACAAGTAGATCTACACCAGGGGAATTAGTAATGTGTCAGGAGGTACAAGAAGCCGTAGAAACACTTCTTGATAATGGAATCCGCGGACAACCAATGAGAGACGGTCATAATAAGGTTTACAAGTCGTTTTCAGATGTAATTGAAGGCAAAGAGGGAAGGTTTCGTGAGACTATGCTTGGCAAACGGGTTGATTATTCGGGGCGTTCCGTCATTGTCGTAGGCCCCTCACTTTCATTACATCGATGTGGATTGCCTCGCGAAATAGCAATAGAGCTTTTCCAGACATTTGTAATTCGTGGTCTAATTAGGCTTGCTTCAAACATAGGAGTTGCTAAGAGTAAAATTCGGGAAAAAGAGCCAGGGGAATACTTCAGGAGATTATGCGGGGACATCCTGTATTGCTGAATAGAGCGCCTACTCTGCATAGATTAGGCATACAGGCATTCCAACCCATTTTAGTGGAAGGACGTGCTATTTGTTTACATCCATTAGTTCGTAAGGGATTCAATGCAGATTTTGATGGGGATCAAATGGCTGTTCATGTACCTTTATCGTTGGAGGCTCAAGCGGAGGCTCGTTTACTTATGTTTTCTCATATGAATCTCTTGTCTCCAGCTATTGGAGATCCCATTTCCGTACCAACTCAAGATATGCTTATGGGGCTCTATGTATTAACAAGCGGGAATCGTCGAGGTATTTGCGCAAATAGGTATAATCCGTTTAATTGCAGAAATTTTTAAAATGAAAAAATTGACGCTAACGCTAATAAGGATAAGTATATGAAAGAACCCTTTTTTTGTAATTCCTATGATGCAATTGGAGCTTATCGCCAGAAAAGAATCAATTTAGAGAGCCCTTTGTGGCTTCGGTGGCAACTAGATCAAGGCCTTATTGCTTCAAGAGAAGCTCCCATTGAGGGTCACTTTGAATCTTTAGGTACCTATCATGAGATTTATGGACACTATCTAATAGTAAGAAGTATAAAAAAAAATTCTTTCTATATACATTCGAACCACTGTTGGTCATATTTCTCTTTATCGAGAAATCGAAGAAGCTATACAAGGGTTTTGCCAAGCCTGCTCAGGCGGTACCTAATCTAATCATAGGGATCTAAGCTAAGTAATTCTATGACATCGGTGTGAATTCAGATCTCTTTGGTGCAACTAGGACTATAGTTCCTGAATTTCTACGCGAATCAAGATCGAGAAAAGGAAGTTTTCCAAGCATTAACTCAAATCTATTGCCGAGCCCTATTCAGCGGAATATGGAGGTATTTATGGCCGAACGGGCCAATCTGTTCTTTCACAATAAAGTGATAGATGGAACTGCCATTAAACGAATTATTAGTCGATTCATAGATCACTTCGGAATGGCATATACATCACACATCCTGGATCAAGTAAAGACTCTGGGTTTCCAGCAAGCCACTGCTACATCTATTTCATTAGGAATTGATGATCTTTTAAGAGCTTAGTCTGGGCATCAATGCACCTCTCTGCGCCTTAGCCTATCCTCTTCTCGGATTCCAGCTTTTTACTTTTCTTATAAAAAGCTTCTCCCTCGGTTCCTTCACTGGGCGACTTCACTTCCTTTCGAGTAGGGGTAGGCCCTTTCCCAATGCCTTTAGTCCAACGGCGGTAATAAAGTCTAATGCTTGGGTAGGGGATTTTTCTCTTACAACTGCTTTCCTTTAAGCTGCCTTTCTCTTATCTACGATAGGAGCAAACTCAACAGATTCAATGGCAGCAGAGTCGTGAACAAGAGCCGTTCCTATTCCTTCAACGACCTGGAGGATGGCACTTGAATCCGTTCTGTAAAGAAAGCTAGTCCTATTCCCACCGACCGCTACTCTAACAGCTGCCTATTCTTCCCCGAGGGGAACCGAACTCGCTCCTTACCCCGGCTCCACTCCGGAGCAATGCCATGACCCGGTCGAGAGCCTTCCATGCGGATTCCTTCATTCTGTGGTTTTTAGTTCCCTATGTTCTATGAGTAGAGGGTGGTCGTAGATCAGAAGGAAAGTCGAATCCCTTGGGTACGAAACTACGCTATTCAAAGCATCGAGAATACAAATTCTTTGATAAAAGAACTTTCTCTCCCGGAAGAGCAGGATCAAGATCTAGTTTCGAACAAGCAAGTAGGTGTCACTGTTTAGTAATATGGTTGGTGACTCACTGGGCTTAGTTCTGGTGATCCCAGTAAATAAAGATGCTAGACGTGCAGGAGAAATTGATCAGATCGCCTTTGAAATCGATCTTTTCCATAGTGGTCTGAGGGGTTTGTTCCTCTTCGGGCATGCTACATCGGATCGTCTCTTCCTTTCTTTTCTTTTTCTTCACTTTCGTCATTAGAGTGAATCGGTTTATGAGAATTTAATGCTTAATTCGGGTAGAAGTCTTCCAGGTGAGTGTCAGCGAAGAGTGGGAAGGTGGTAATGAAATTGGCTCCAATGCCAATAAGAAAGCTGCCACTAATAAGTTAAGTGAAGTGCATCAGAAAGGCTTGGTTGGCCAATAGAAGCTGTTCAAGGCATAACTATAGTTATTCGCCGATAGGTGAAAGGAGTATGGAAGTTAGGAAGAGAGGGTTGGACGAGTGAAACTTTTTTGTAAGAGTGAACCTCTCCAAGATGACGGTCGAACCCTGGAAGCCCTTGGCGACAAGCCTGGCCTTGTATCTCTCAATCTTGCCTTTGGAGTCCCTCTTGGTCTTATCAATTTACACCCTAGGGCTCCGCTCCTTCGAGCCTTTGAAACTAGGTCGGTCAAATAGAGCTTTATTATAATATAGGTTAAAAATTCAATCCCTCGGGAATTTGATTGAAGGACCGGTCCAAGTACGTGTTACCGGCATTCATCCATTTCTAGTGTAAAATGAGCGGAGACGAGTTTATCAACACACCCCCCGTAGTCGGTTCCCTCGTAAAAGTTGGGTAGGAACTGAGCTTGTAGAAAGATCCCGTTGATCTTCGGGCTGGCCCTTGCCTATGGAAAGAATGGTGTCTCAGAAAGTTGTTGAATGCCTCAACTTCGGATGAGGACTAGCTAGGATTAGGATCAAAACACCATTTAAGGCACATTTGAACCTAATTAACTGAAGCAGATGCAGGATCCGAAGTCTTCGACTCGGTGCTCGACGAACCGAAGGCGAAAAAGCTAAGGGAAGCCCTCTCGAGAGAGAATTCTAAAGCCCTTCCTCCTTCACTAGTCACTATATTTTAGTCGAGTAGCATTCGAATCCATATATGAATGGCTTTGGCTTGAAGGTCTACTCTAAATTCAATAGTCTAATGACATCCAGAAGGTACGAAAGCACTTCTCTGAGATTGAGACTGATGAAGGCAAAGAAAAAGAAGATAAAGACCTACTTACGTCACTCGAGCCGTAAATCCGTCGAAGTTTTTCTACGTAGGTTCGAATCCCGCCTCTCCCACTTTTTTGTTGTAGACTTCAGAGAAGAGAAAGGAGGCATTCGTCAGCGTAGGAAGGCCCACCGAGCGAAGCTCTTTCTCTTTTTTGGGCCGTGAAGTGAAATTGTATCGTATGTTAGTTAGAGAGGTTGGCGAACTACTACGATCTATAGATTCCCCATCTATATCCAATCCCAACGAGAATAGAAGCGAGTCGCTTCCGGCTTGGCTTGTAGTCGTAGTCTTTTAGTTTTAGCTTATGTAGTGGTCGGCCTTCCTACACGCACGCGCCCGCCAGAATGCCTCCTTGGTTCTGGACGAAGCCAGGCCGATACATACGATAGGCGAAGGAAAGACCCCCATTTAATAGCGCCTGGGGAACGCAAGTTTGATCGAGGATTGGAGAGGAGAGGTGGAAGAAAAGGCTCGAGATGGATTTAGGAGTCTTCGTGCTTCCACTCGGGAATCGCTCGTTCCCATTTCCTCGCTTTCCAAGTCTCATTTGGATGAGGCGCCGGCACTACTAAATGCAACTCTCATTTCAACATTCTTTCTTCTCTATTGGCCCTTCCTTCGATCTACCGCCTCTTCCTTAGTCTTTGGTTGATCAGGCCCTTTGTTAGGCCTCTCCGTCTTCTTGAATAGCGGCACATAAAATACGTGTAAGAAGCCTGAAAGCGACGCGGTCACTAACTGAAAGCGGCTCTTTGATGCGCTAAGGCTAAGGATGAATGAAGCAAAGATAGATCTGCTATGCCCTTGTTGCTGGGTCAGCTCTTACAATTACAAGAAGTCAAGCAAAAGCCAATGGCGCTAGGCCGGCAAGAAGATAAACTCGATCCGATGCCCTTACCTGACTCTGATTCGAACACAAAACTCATTCCTTGCTCCGTGGGCAGGAGCGAACCGGGGAACTATAACAAAGAACGTGAGGAAAGGCACTGCCGCTGACTAAGATGATAGGCGCATGGGGACAGACCTTATACTCGTACTTTAAACCTTAGACCAATCAACCATAGGCAAAGACACTAGGCGATGGTCCCACACAGGTAAAGCAGCTACAAGAACTAAAAGAATAAGAAAAGGGTTTGACACCTGACACATCAATAATAATGAGCCATTTCCCCAACCGGAAGAAAGAAAAAGAAGGCTCGGGCGCTAGAACAAAGAAAGAAAGGATTTTGCGCTGACTCAAGGGATTACTCATTGGGCCTACTAGGATGACTTGGATTAGGCTGCTTAGGCGGCTTGGAATGCTGGTAGGACAGCTTCGAAAGCTAATGGAAAGCCCGGAAAGCTTCCAAGAGGGACGGACAACTAGCGGAGGGAGTCAAAGAATAGCGGAATTTCGCGAAGCCTATCTATAGACCCAACACAGATCCTCACTCTTAATTATGATAGGTCTAATGAATCTCTCCATTTTCCAGAGAAGAGGTCATTAAAGAGAGTCCATGGCCGCCCGAGAAGCACCGGAGAAGGTCTCGACTCTCTAAGATAGGAACTCAAGCCCCTTCATGGTAAACCACTAAGGCATGCTTTACGGCACCCATGCAGCCTCTAATCTTTCGATTTTTTTTCCTCAAACCAAAAAGAAAGGCAACTATCGATCTACTGCACCGTGGAGCTGCAGTCAAGCTGCTCTTTGTTGCGACTTCTTCCTTTGCTCTATCTATAGACCCAGCCAGGATCAATGAATGACAGGACTATGGAACCATTCTACTAGCTAATCCCAATCCGATGGCTTTGAGAAGGGCGATATGCTAATACTGGGGTGGAAGATCTCGACGGAACTCAATCCAACCACAAAAAAGAGTATCCGATTTTGATTCAAATCCTGAGTCGATGGATGGGAAGCATGGGCCAAGACAAGGAGAAGCTCCGTACCCACCAAAGCAAACGAAAACGCTTGCTTGAGACCTTTTATGCCTTGGGGTGGTGCCCATTCTCTCTCTTAAGTGATTCCACGTCAGAGCTTGATCCGCTACCGATCAGGAAGTGCGTTCGGCACTCGTAATACTAGCGAGAAGCTTCCCTTGGGATTGTTTTCCCAGGCATCCTGCCCTAGGACCAATCCTTCTTTCCACGCTCCCAGTTATTCTGGTTGGTTATTCTTTAGTAATGCATTTGTGCCTGACCCTTGCAATTCACTTTCAAAGGTATACTTTGACGCTGCTCCTGTTACCACCTAAATGACTACTCAAAACAACACACTTTCTTGGTTGAGCTGATGGAGACTATTCAAGAATCCTACCCCCGGATCTTACTAATAAAGAAAGCGCCAGGACAGAACAACAAGTGCGGAATCCCATCCTGCTGCAGGGATTGGAAATTGCGGAATATCAGGATTTAGGCTCTTGCAAAGAAGGCAATTCATTCGTAGTAGGATATTGAAACCTCAAACCCTCTCTGTCAACAACATCGAAAAGATTAGGACGAAGGAGCTCGAGCTCTCTTCCATATTCAATTCTCGGAAGAAGATTCTCAGAAGCTGATTCTACGCATCAGACTAACTGGAGTTCATGCTTTCCTGCGTGAGACAAAGGAAGCAAATTGACTTACTCGGCGGGAAGGGAAATGTTGGACTTGTCCTCCCTCTCAAAAGAAGGTTCATTTCAGCTATAGAAAAAGAAAAATCACATTCTTCAATCGGCGAAGCCTCACATCCTGTTCCTGTTTCCTTAGACCAGGGAAGATTAGTTTCTTAATGAGAAAGAGGAATTGAAGAACCCGGCTCATTCACCAGAAAGAAGCCTAAGAAAGACCTATCCGGAAACAAAGAGGGTTTCGTAGCTGATCTGCCGAAAAGAAAATACAAGGGGGTGCACTCTTGGCTAATCGGTCTTTCTGGCAAACCTATCTTCTAGGGTGGCCGATTCTCCAGTGCTATCTTCTGTTTTCTTTGCTCTTTCCTCTTTATGAGGAAAAAGACGGGGGTTTCATGAAAGTGGCACTCTTTTTATGTCACTTAGGAAGGGAAAATGCATTTAGACGAAAAACACGCTGTTTTCTAAAGTTGTCCGATTTCAATTGACGTCTAGGAAGGGAAATTGACTTGATACCAAAATCACGGGGAAAACGCTCCAATGTCACCATTGAAGTCTCACTTAGGAGGGAAATCGGATTGCAAGCAAAAATCCCGAGAAAATGAAAGATTAGTCAGATCAGGGGGAAGCTGGTGCTATAGCCGTTGTTCAAGAATGGCTTTTGTTCAATCAGACGCTCTTGCTTAAAAAGCTCTAGTAACCGGTGCTTCCTATTGATGCGACGGTAACTCGAGATAGAATCTCTACGCCCTGAAGAATTCCTACCAGCGGGCTTCCCTGTACTCAAAGTGAATTGTCTCAGTGCCGGGCTTTTGATCAATTTCCCATCTCTCGACGATACTTTAATAAGAGCTCCTCAAAAAGGGGTAACCTTTTCTCTCAATCCAATCTCGGATTTACAAAGCCAGAAGAGAGACAGGAGGATCGCTCCCTTTAGCAAGTCTTCTTAAAGCAGGTATCCGATGTAAGTTCAAATAGAGCTCTTCTTACCTCAAAAGGAGTTCGCTCGTTGACTCAGCTTCTTCTCTTCGAGCCGAGCCAAAGAAAGAGAAGGTAGGCTTACTCTGAAATGCCTTGAGAACAGCGGAGTGAACTTCTAACTCGAAATTGCATAAGAGAAGAAAGCGTAGAAAGAGGTTCAGAAGTACTTCACTAGGTTCTACCAGGTAAGAAGGTCAAATGCTCTTCTTTTGTCAGTTCTGGTAGATTACTTACACATTGGATCGGGAAGAGAGATGGGAAAAAGACTGCAAGGGCATATGGTACGCAAAGGAAATCCGATTTCGGTCAGACTCTATCTTAATCATATTCTTTCTTTAATCGCAAGTACTTTCGGTCTTTTTCTAGCAAATGCATTTGGACGTTTTATAGGATCAGAAGGAACCGCTATAATGACCACTACTAAAAATCTCGTGCTTTTATCAATCTTTATTTTTTTATTAATCTTGATCTTTCGTCTTGCTTCTTCTTTTTCAAAAAGAAAGGGTCAAGCTTTCGACTTATACTTCTATATATTGA